AAGAACTTCAGATCAGCCATTTTACACGAAACTTCACAGGGGGAAATGGAAGCTGGGGGAGGACAGGCCATGCCAGGTCTTTCTCTGCTGTGTCCCTCTCCCTTATGACATCTCAGCGTCCCACAGCAGGGACTGGTGCTGCAGTGCATCCCAACTGGGCTGTGCATCCCCGTCCCAGTGGGGATGGAGCTGCAGTCTGTCCCACCTCTGGTGCTGCACATGGGTGGCACTGTGCCCACAGAGCGCATTTCCCCGCTCTGATAAGACGTCATTCATTCATTGCTGTGTGCTGACCACGGGCCAGGAGCAGGGCCTGCACGGCCTGCTTGGAGGCAGAGGAAATGCTGCTTGGTGCGGCAATCCATCTCCGAAAGAGCCATTGAAAGGGGAGGTTGTGCTGCAGCTGCCGCTGGGCTGGAGCAGCTTGCAGCAGATCCCTCCAGGCTTCTCCACTGGATGGCACACACCGGTGTGAGAAAGGAGAGGCAGAAAGGCCGCCCAGCTCGTGCGAGCAGAGCTGATCTGGTTTCACATATTCCTGGGGTTTCTCTTGAAAACGTGCCTGTCGCCGAGGCCACGGGGAGCAGGGAGAAGAGGTCAGGAGGTAAAGCAGTGTGTGCCCTTGGGATGAGCCTGCAGAGCTGCTAGTGCTGTTCTCACATGAGCATGACTGGAGTGGGCAACAAGTCAGCTGATGTGCAGCAAAAAACTGCTGTGCAGAAATTTGCATGGAAGCCACAAAAAGGTGACAGGCACCATGCAGGGCAGTGACCAGGCAGCACTGCAAGGGAGGGTTGTGCAACGCTGTGGGTCTTGGGCAACAAATGGGTCAGAATGGGGAACAAGGAGGACAAGGAGGCAAGGAACTCTTGCCTTGCCTGCTCCGTCCCTGCTGCCCTCTGCCCTCTGTGCCCACAGCAAGGGTACAGCCCCAGCCCCAGCCCCTGCTCCACCCACTATTAACCCGTATTTGCTTATTAGGGAAGTTGCAAGCCTGTGCAAACACTTCCATTTGTTCTCGATAAAGTGAAGGCAGAAAAATCGTGCCCACGAGGTGTGGCTGGTGCCGGCGGGCTGCTGCCTGCTTGGGGTCAGGCTGCTGGGGTTCAGCTCAGCCCTGGGTGTCCCCAGTCCCCAATGTCACCATCCCTGCTGCTCTCCAGACAACAGCAGCATTTGTCCCAAACTCGGCCTGGTGTCGCTAATGGCAACTACTAATTGTTCTCTAGCTCCGTACTATATTTAATTCCCCGCTATTATTTTTTCCCCTTTTAATCATAAGAAGCCTAAATTTCCCTTGGGGAAGGTTATTGGCTCAGCAGTGGAAATATACCTGCGACTTGCATGGCGCTGTGCCACGGGGGGATTGGCTGTATTTTTAAAACCAAGTACAAAGTGTCTTCAATACCAGCTTGGCTTAACTCTTCCTGGGTAGGTTGGGGGGCTGCAGGGGCTCCTTCCCCTCCACTCAGCTCCTGCTTCTCCCCCTGGGGCAGAGTGTGCCCATCTGTGCCCTCAGACACGGGGAACAGAGGATGGGCAAGGAGCAAAGGTGGGTTGGGAGGTATGGCTCAGTTTTGTCCTATTTTCTGACGGCTTCTCTGTTCCTTGCTGGTGTAAACCCAGCATGCGCAGGGTTGTGTGAGGGGCATGGCATGTGCAGTGTGTGGGGTTTGTGAGCATAACCTAAAGCCTTGACACCTTTGAGGATGTGGGCCAAAGTCATGCTGTCTGAGAGCTATTCTGGGGGAGCGTGGCTGCTCCTGTGGGGCTGCTGGGGAGGTACAGATGGGACAGGCGGGAGGGGGCTGTCTTTCATCTGCTCCCATTAATTAAGTCACCCACGGGGGGCTCATCCCAGCCCCAAAGACCTTGGGTTGCCTTTCAGACGGCTGCTGGTGGGGAGGTTTGGGATTTGCACTTGGGATTTGAGCAGTCAGTGCTGTCCTGCCTGCTCACTGCAGGGTGCTGAATAAGGAGGAGCACACAGGGGTGTGGAGGGCAGGCAGAGCCCAGGCAGCCTCTGTGCTGCATCCACGGGCAGCACTGGGGTCAGAGTGTGCCCAGAGCATGCTGACACTGGGGGCAAACCCTCCTCCTAGGCAAAGAGTTCCCCTGTTCTCTATGGCTGCCAGCAGAGCCTTCCCACAATGCACACAAGGGCCCGAGTGTCTCCCTTCCTCCTCCATGAACAAAGGAGGCTACAGATATTTTTCTCCTCCCATCTGCATGCAGCTTCACCCTTGCACTCCCAACCTTGATCTGGGACTCCCAGTGCCAACACTAGCTGGGGACCTGGCAGGGCATGGGGATGCTGTTTGGATACCACAACCCATCAGACTCCCCAGCTCCAAATGCCCAGCATCCCCATCCCACTCTCAATGCTGTATCTGCTCCCTCAGCCCCTGCCCAGCCAAGAGTTCCAGTTGGGCTCTGGAGGGCTTTTTGGATGTTTGTGTAGCCAATCCCACTCCACAGTGCACTGCAGTGTTGGGAGCACTCACTGCGGAGCCCGGCAGCCCAAGGCCATCACAGGGAGAGTTGCAGGAGATGTAGTTGCAGGGGAACCTCTGCCAAAGGAGCATCGTGTGGACAGGACAGTGGGGGCCGGGGGAGGGATGTGGCCCCTCAGTTGGAGCAGCTGCCTGCAAAAGGAGCAATTTCAGCATGGGAAAGGAATGTGGTTCTGGCCCCGCCAGGGATGAAGGCTGTGCCTGGGAGAGGGGTGGCTGCTGCGGCACTGACTCACCGGCCCCCTCTCCGCAGCCGCTTCCTCTCCGGGAGGCAGAAACTCCCAGTTTTTATTTATCGCTTGGCCTAAAGTAGGGGGTAAGGAAGGAAACGCTCTTATTTTTAACTCCTCTATCTCCCCGGGACCTGGGCTGTGTGGGGAGCGAGGCGGCCACCCAGAGTGTGTGTGCCTGCAAGCATCCCCAAGGCCGGGGCTGCGCCGCTCACCTGGGGCTGTGCTGTGCAGAGCATCACATGGGCTGGGAGCAGCCCAGGGACTGAGCTGAGGGGACACAGGAGCTTGTCAGCATTGTGGTTGTGGCTGCGTGGCGGGGAAGGGACGCACCACTAAAATGCTTTCTATTCTCTGTCCTCGGTGGAGTTGGTTGGGGATGTTTGGTCCAGAGCAGGAGATGCAAAGGAGAACGCAAGAGGCTGCGACTTGCTGCTCGTGTTCTTCTGGACAGGAGAAAGCAGGCCAGGCACAACTTGTGTTCAGTGCAAAGGAGCTTTTGGCGTCTCCTGGTGATTTCATCGGTCGGTGCTCAACAAACACAAGCAGCCCCCTGGGAAGGATGAGCGCACCGGGAGCCTGCAGAGGAGGTGCCCAGCGAGGATGTGGTGCGCACGGATGGGTGCACAGCGCTGCTGGCCGAGATGCTGTGTGTTGTGCCTTTGATCAGAGCGGCTGATTTGTGCACAGAGTTTGGGCCTCTGATTCCACTGGGGCTTTCTTTGAGCTCCTGTTTTGAAACCTTCATTTGCTTTTAGCAGCGGCACTTTTTTTTCTTATTATCTTCTTTTTTCCCCCTCTGTTGCCCTGAGATAAAGGCTTCTAAATTTGTACTGTGCTGAAAACGCAGCTAATCCTGATGGACCTGGATTCGCATCTCCCCCAGAGGAATTGCACTAATTTTTTTTCCCCTTTGTTCTGCCAGGGGACCTGTCCGTTTCCTTGTGGAAAAAAATAAAATCCACTATTTAGGGCAAGGTTTAGGCTCCTGAAACCTGTGTGCTTGTTTGTGGAAAAAAAAAAAAAAAAAAAAAAAAAATAAGAGGACAAGAGAGAAATAAACGAGGAAAATGCATCATGTTTTTTTTTTCCTTCTCCTTCCAATATTGTTTTTACAGCAGTCAAGTTTTAATTAAAGTGTAGAACTAGGGCAGCTGTGCTGTCCAGAAGATGTTCTGAGGACATGCTCCTTTTCCACTGATGTTATACAGGGAGCCCAGAGCTGCTCACCCAGCCTGGTGCATTGGGTGATGGGCTGCAGGCACCAAGGGGGGCTTTGGGGACCGGGGGGGAGGGGTGGTCCTTCCTGCTCTCAGCTACCGGTGGTGATGAGGGGGGTGGACATAATGAACGGGGCTGGTAGTTGGAGGTGAAGGGGGAAAGCTTGTGCATTGCACAAGGGGAGGTTTTGTTGATGGTGGAAGGGGGATGGAGAGGTGGCAGGAGGTGCAGCTGCTCCAGCACGGGACTGGCTTGCTGGCAGCTGGGCTTCAGGGATTTTCCTGCCACAAGCACTTGCCTGGGGGAGAAAAATCCAGCCAGAGCCGGCCTGTCCTCACCTGGGGCTTTCCCCGGCTCCGCCGGTGGTGCGGGACAGCTGTGCTGCACCTCGGGGGGAGCGCTGCCCCAAAGGCAGCTTTGTGCCTTAGGAGCGGCGCTGGAGGACTGGGAGCCGCGTGTGCTGGTCCTGGGGGGGCAGAAATAGGGCTGGGAGGTGGGGGCTGGGCGGTCACAGCAGCGGGGCAGGAGGGCACGATGGGTCGGGGGGCAGCGGGCGCATCCCAGCTACACCAGGCGTTTAGTTCGACGGTGGATGCAAAGTGCAGCCGCCTCCTCCCCTGAGCATTGCTGCCTTTCTCCGCTTTTGTGCAACAGCCTGCGGGCCCCCATCTCCAAACAGCCCCCCAGCCCGGCCCGGGACGGGGAACCGCAGCCCGTAGCCGGGCTGAGTGGAGGCGGAGGGGGGGAAACTCTGCACCCCGGGAGCGGCACAGCGGGGTGAGCCCAGGGTGGGTGTGGGCAACGCTCAGAGCGCTTCCGCCTGGCTGCGGAGAGCCCCACGTCCCCAGCTCGGCGACACAGAGACCGGCGGCAGTGGGGGTGCCGACCCCCTCCCTCCCCTCCAAGCCCACGCTCCCCTAAGCTGGGAGGCGGGGAGCAGAGGGTGGGGCCTCATTTTGGGTACCAACGCCCCCCCCCCCCCCTCGCCGTGCCGCTCCGGTTCTCCTCCCAGGCCAAAAATATTTGCATGCTTTTTCGAGCAGGACTTCCTGATTGCTCTCTATTGGCTGCAGGTAGAAAGCTGTGGGGAGACGGAGGCACGGACAGCCGGACAGATCTCATGCAGTGCTCTTCTTGAGCCTCTTCCTCCCACACTCCTCTTCCTCCTCCTCCTCCCTCCGCTGCCCGGCTCCTTTGGCTCGAGTCCTGCGCGGCACATGTAAAAGTTGAGCGAGAGCGTCCCGCTCCCCTCCGCTGCTCGAAGGGAACGGGCGAGGGGTAGAGGGCGAGAGCCGGGCTGGGAGAGCCCCCGGGCACGATCCTGAGCCCCGCTTGCTCCATGGTGCATTCGTGCCCGGGGAGGTGACGTCGGGAAGAAGAGACGCGGTGCCGACTCGAGGGCAACCATGAATGAGATGTCGAGTTTCCTGCACATCGGGGACATCGTCTCCCTGTACGCCGAGGGCTCCGTCAATGGTTTCATCAGCACTTTGGGGTGAGTGAGCCCTGTCCCGGCACTGCGCGTTTGCTTCTGGGGGGAACGGGGAAGGGAAGGCAGTGCCGAGGCTGGACTGGGTGGGAAGAAGGGATTGAAACCCCTTTACAGGTGTTGGACGTGGGGAGGGCAGGATATGGAATCCTCTTTGCCTTTGTTGGTTGCTGTTAGGGCGTGATTTGGCCCTGCAGCTCACAGCAGCCGTTGGCAGAAGTTGTTTTCCCATCTTTGGAGGGTTAAGGTGGGCTTGAACAGCAGGAGGGTCCGTGGGGCTGTGCATAAGGCTGATCGGGATGGTTTGGTGCGGATGGCAGAAGGAGGGTTCCCAGCCTGGCCTCGTGTGGCCACAGGCTGCTGTCCTGGCATCAGGCAATGATGGATTTGCTGCTCATCTCGAGGACTGGGTGCTTGGGGGAGCAGGGCATGGCAGAGCTTTCTCCTTGCAGCCCCCAGGCACGCTAGAACAGAAGGGGATCTTGCAACCCGACCTCAGGGACCTGTCCCTTGTCCCTGCTGCTTTTGTGTTAAAATAACTTTGGGGCAAAGCCCCTGGGCTGCACATAGCAGGGACCCAAACCTCTCCTGCCTCCCTGAGCACCAAGCCTGACGCTGCTTCTAGGACGGGAGTCTGTGCTAGTACTTGCCCCACAGTACATGTAGGAGAGGCTGAGATCAGGCAGGAATGCTGACTTGGATGGGATTCCTGGGGCAGGAGCTGCCCGGCTCTATAATCTGTGCTGAATGCACTTGCTCCCACATGCCTGTGTAGAACTGGAGACGTTCATACGTCGCCTACACGTGTACACATACCCACTGTGGGGCACACGCAGCCTCTCGGATGATGCCCGTTGGAGCCATGCCCTGGCCAGCAGCAGGAGGCTGCCCAAAGCTGTGCTGGTGGGCGCAGGCACAAAACCCCGTGCGTGCAGCTGTGTACGGTGCTGACGTCGGGTGTGGGATGCAGCAGCGTTGTGCTCAGCCCTCAGCCCGGGGTCCTGTTGGGGTTGGTCTCTGTGGTGGGGTCTGTGTGCTCGGTGCTCAGCGCCTTCCCATCCTGGTGGTGAGATTGGAGGTGGAGGAGCTCCAGCAGGGCCAGCACTGGTTATTAGCCCACGCAGCATGTCCCGATGGCTTGCAAGGAGCCAAACAAAGAGATGTTGAGATACTTTCAGGCTCCAATCCCTTTGTAGCTCTGGCTCACTTTTCTGCAGGGTGCTTCTCTAGTCCTGCTTACACACATCTGGAAGGCAGGCTGTGCTCCCAGGCCCCTCTGTGGTTTTTGCTGGACCCGCTTTTCCCAGGGCTCTGTTTTCTCTGGTTTATTTCCCACCCTCTGTTTTCCTGTTTGCCCCATGACTTGGGAGACCCAACCGCACCTTAAATCACTCCTGCGATAATGGACTGGGTGACTCACTGAGAGTGCTTCTCCCCAACCCTGCTGCTGCCTGCTTGGGACCTTATTTGGTTCATTTGCAAGGCAAATAGCTCTGCCAGCCCCAGCTGGGTGCTGCGTGCCCTGCTGAGCATCCTGCCAGAAGGGCTCCCTTCATCTTTCCTCCCCTATGGCAGAGGTTTTGGGGTGGGGGAGTCTGTAGTGGGATCTTTATGGGATGATGTAGAGTTTTCAGGTGCTCTGTTAGGGCGTGCACCCAATGTTCTGGTTCTGGGGCTTCCCTGTGCCAGCATCCTGGTGGGGAGGTGAGCTCTTCCCAAGTGCATTTCTTTGGGGTTTCTTGGATGATGTGGGTCTAAATGGCACCTAAATACAAACCCAGTGGTGCTTGCAGGTGCTGCTACAGGATGCACAGGGCTCTGTCTGCGTTTTGGATGCAGCAGTGTTTGGAGCCACCACAAGCTCTTCTTGGATGGATATGGCTGCAATGTCTGAAGCAGTGTCTAACTCTGCAGCCCATGCCTTGCATTAAGGCCAGTAAGCCCAGTGTTTTGCTGGTTCTGGTCAGAAGCAGTGAGTGGGAGAGTCTTTTGTCACCAGCCCAGGGCAATGCCCTGCTGCAGAATGGGACCAGCCAGCACATGAGGCTGCTCACTACTCAGTCCCACCATCTGTGGGATCTCACCAGGCTCTTAGCAGCCTTTTGAGCTGTGATGGTACCCTGGCAGGGGGGGATGTTGGGAGCCAGCAGCCCTGCTTCTCGTTGTCAGTGGGATGCTCTGGAAAGCAGCAGGGAAGCAGAATCAGGCTGCTTATCAACACTAAGCCTTAAGTTTTGTTAAAGTGGTTTCCTTTCTCCACGCATCCAGGGGGACTTGCTGGAGTGGTTGGGGCAGGAGCAGCCCCCCGGCTGACCTCCACCTCTGCTCCCAGCCCCACTCACAGTGGGGGCACAAAGCACTCCTCCCGCACCCGCAGTGGGTGTTTGCTCTGGAGGAGGAAAAACATCACACTGCAGGGTGGGGAGTGCTTGTGTGCTCACAGCAAGATGGGGGAACGCCGAGCCAAAATACCCAAACATGCTCAGATGTTGAAGACGGAACAAATAGGAGGAGGCTATTCGAGAAGCACGGGGCAGGAGCTGATCGAGGTCGCATCCCTTGGTTCAGTGCCCTGAGAGCAACGCGTTCATTTTGCGGAGCTGGGGGCAGTGGGACAGCTTGCTTTGAGGCAGGGAAGGGCTCTGCAGGGCTGCAGGTTTGGGGCATGGGAAGTTGCCCAGGAGGTGCATGGAGATGTGGGACCCAGAGTTGGCTCATCTGCCCTCTGAGCTTGCTTTGAGGCAGGGAAGGGCTCTGCAGGGCTGCCCAGGCTTCGCTGCTGCAGGTTGAGGGTGTCTGAGGAAACAAAAGCTTTGTGTTCAGAGGAAATCACAGGTACCTCCTGGGACTTTGTGCTAAGGGAGCAGGAAGTTTTGGAACTGGGTCTGGAATGGGGACGCAGCTGCTGTGGTGGAGTGCTCTGTGGGCATCATCTATACCAAGCAAATCAGTGCCAGGCCGGGGGGAGGGGTGGGAGACCTTGCTTTGGTTCCTGCTCCATTGGTGGATGTGGTGATGCTGTGTGCCCTGGGAAAACCACAGCCAGCGATGTTCCCATCTCGGCTTGTGCTCCTGCTGGGCCAGCACCAAATGGCAGGAGCCAACCAGGAGCAGTGAGATGCTGCTCGGGATTGAGCTGCCCTGTCCCTGCCATCCGAGGAGCTCAGGGACTGGCAGAGGTGGCAAACCCGCCCAGATGGTAGTTGGCTGTTTAGCATAAAACAACACCTTTGATAGCTGTAATTGCGATTGCAGGTGGATGTACAGGGTGGAGCAGCTGAGGGAAACACAGCTGGTGAAAGGGCAACTGCAGCCACACTGGGTCAGGACATGGGGAGGAGACACTCGCCAAGCCAACAGCAGCATCCTCGTGGTGCTGGGACAGTGGGGGCAAGGCTGCATTTTTGTGGCTCACTTGCTTTATTTTTGCTTCATTTGCACTGCCAGGATGGCCGCCCCGTGGGCATCGTGCCCATCCCAAGCCTGAGAGGCTGACCCAGCCCCGTGCCTGGTGGCAAGCTCTGCTCTCCTCCTCTTCCTCTCCTCCAGGACAGCCCCAGCCGGCCGCTGTCCCCGGGGGTGTCAGGAGTGTCCAGCAGCCGCAGATTGCAGTGCTGGAAGAGCTGCTTCCCCTGACCTCCAGCAAAAGGCTCTGCCTCGGGCTGGCTGGAGGCCAAGGAATCACTTTGTGCTCGGTTTGGAAGCATGCAGAAAGCCCTGCTGGAACTGCTGCAGGGCTTAAAGCTAACCAGATGCTCGCACGCGCTGCATGCATGCAGGGCTGCAGGATCACATCCCAGGGCGCCTTGAAGCTGCAAAGCACAAGGTTTGCAGCAGTGCCCTCAGCCTACAATGTCTTCCTCCAGGGGATCAGACACTGATGGCATTCTCTCATTAGCACCTGGGAAATGAAAGCCAGCAGCCCCGCTGTTCTGATAGCACAGGGAGCTCTGCGTGGCGCTGGGGGAAGCACGTCCCAGCAGCAACCCAGGTGACTCATGTCCACCGTGTCAGGATCCTTTCTGCTTTCAGCAATTCTTAACTGAATAATGCTAGTCCGGAGTATCACTTAAAGAAAAATAATACTTTGCATTCCTGCAGAGTGTGTAATTGGAGCATTAAAGACACAGAAACTGCTCTGAGGTCATTAACTAATTAAGACTTGCAGCTTGGCAGGTCGCTGTCTGCGCTGCTGCGTGGCACAGTGGTGGCACTTGGTGCAGAAGCTGCAGGAGATGGAGCTGGCACCTGTAGAAAGCTCCTGTGTTGAAAATGGGCTGCGTGGGTCAGATGCTTCCTTGGAGACCTTTAGACATGGTGGAGAACTTAGATATTGAACGTTTTTTTAAAGAGCAAAAATGAAGGCACCCTTCTGCTCCTGTAGGGGGTGGTGGAATTGAATCAGGCACTCACTGAGAGCTGTTGCTGCACTACGTAGCTCTCATTTGACTCAGGCAGTATGTGTGCCAGGCAGCACTGCAGAGTAATAGAAACCAAAAGAGCCTACAGCTGGCATTGGGCTGGCCTGAGGCTTTGCATATCTCCTGCGCAGTGAGATATGTGAGAGGATTTGTCCCCTCTTTGCCACCCTTCTCGCTGTCCCAAATGCCCACAGCAGCATGGGGACAGTCCCAGCTCCTTCCCAGTTGTTGTGGAAGCAAGGGGCCAGCTGGGGAGCCCAGCACCCCACCACAAGTGTGAGCCAAACCCTGCCTAGCAAAACACCCGATGTCCGTTTATCAAAACCTCATGCGTTTTGATTGTCCAAAATCTGGATCTTTTCTCATAGTTATTAAACTGCTGCTGCCACCAAAAATATTCGAGAGATTGATTTTCTTTCTTTACTTGAAAGCTAAATTGAATCCCCCACGAGCCCCAGAAGCTGCAGCTTCAGCAAACCTCTCTCCTGGCAGCACCACGACGCCCAGTGCTGCAGCACAAGGCCTGGCTGCATTTTGGGGTCCTAATAGAAGGTGAAAGCAGAGGTCCCGCTGTGCTCTGGGCCGTGCATTGGGACATTGGCTGCTGCTCCAGCTCCACTGCCAAGGACGCAGCAGCACCAGGGTCCCTGGGGTCCCAATCCATCAGCGCTTAGGCCAAATTCCTCTCTGCCGAGCGAAGGAGAGGAATTTTCCCCTCCTCCAGAGAGCAGCTGGAGCTGCAAGTGGGATTTTTCTTGTTGCAAGCCCTCTGCAGCACGACATGCTCAGCTCCAGCTGCACTTTGCTGTGTTTGTCAGCTGCATCGAGTCCCCAGGGCAGTGTGGTGCCACATGCCCACTGCACCTGTCCTGTCCCCAGCTCTGCATTCCCCCCTGATTGCGTAGTTGCTGCATTCCTGCACCGCTTCCCAGCAGCCCAGACTCAGGTGGGGGCACGCTGCTCATTTCCTCGCCCCAGGCACAGCGCGGTTTCTCTCCTTGCCTTACTTCCCAGGGGTTGGCAGAAAGCAGACGAGCGGGTCCAGCCTGTCCCACCACTGCAGTGTGTTCCCTTGGAAGCCTCAACCTCCTGCAGAACCCGATGCCTGCTGGCCCTCGGGCCTCTGGGGCCAAGCAGAGGGATGCCTGGTGTCTGCCCGGGCTTTGCTGGTCTCAGTGACATTGCAGCGATGTCCTGAAGTTGCAGGGAAGGTCCTCAGTGTGCAAAGCTGAGCCTGCAGGAGTCTGGGGAAATGAGGAGGGTGGCAGGGAGGAAGCACAGAGCTCTTTGTGTCTGATGGGTAGAGCCAGCACCTCCAATCAGATAATAATAATTTCAGGGGCCGTGCCACCTCCTGCAGCAGTTTGCAGCCTGTGCATCCATAGGGTTAGCTCCCAGCTGAGAAAGGAGAACCATTATGTGAAAGCTGAACTCATCACAGATTTCCAGACTGATGGCAGCACGAAGCTGTGGGCAGCATCCCCACCCCTGGCCCAGGCAGCAGCCTGCTTGTGCACAGTGCCCTCACCCCAAGGCAGATTTGGCTCTGCTGGGCACAGCAGGACCCACTCCTGCAGAGTGAGGGTGTCAGAGCCTCCAGTATGGATCGCTGAGCAAAGGCCCCAGGACGCAGCTCAGTGCTGTGCTGCTGTGTTTGCCCAAAGGGGCCATAAGGAAAAACCCATCAGTATCACCTGGGGGGTAGTGGTGAACAAGGAGCAATGAGATGCATTCAAGGCAGGCGCCAAGGAATGGCTGCTGGAGCTGAGCATCGTGCTGAATATTGGTAGAGTGCAAAGGGGTAGAAAACAGAAGACATGAGTTTTGATGCTTTGGAGCCAATGTGTGTTTGCTGCTTTGCTTGCTCGAGCCTTGCTGCTGCCTTTTCTCAAGCTCTGCTCCTGCTCTGTCCTGCAGGCTGGTGGATGACCGGTGTGTGGTGGAGCCGGCAGCTGGGGACCTGGACAACCCTCCCAAGAAGTTTCGAGGTGAGGTGGGGCCAGGTTGGGGCAGTCCTGTCACTGCTTGGGAACAACTGAGCATCCATGCCAGGGGTGGGGACTGCAGCCCCAGCTCGCCAAAGCTGGGAGGTGCTGCTTGCAAAGGACTTCAGGCAGCTTCTGTAGGCCACCACTTGGCCAAACCACTGACCATCCTCTCTTTGCTTCTGGGAGCATTTATGCTTCTCTTGGAACTGCTCCCAAGTAGGATGGTCCGTGGGACCCCACAGCCCTAAGGAGCAGAGGTGGCTGGAGGCTGTCCTCTGCAAAGGTGGGTCTGACTGTGCCTAAACACATCCTTAAGGATGTTGGCAGCATCACCTGGCTGCGAGCAGGGGACAGAGAGGGAAGAAAGGGCCCAGGAGGGAACAGAGAGAGTTGCAGTTGAAACAGATAAACTATTGCAAGGCAGGTCTGTTCTCACTCAGTACTAATTACATCTGCTGTGCCTGGCTGCACCTCAGAGTGAACCAAGGGATTAAGCCGCTCTTTTACAAGGCATGCAGGGCGAGATGGTGAATCCCTCCCCATCCTCAGTGGTCACGTTTTGGGCTGTCTCCTCGGGGCTGTGCTCACTGCTTCCTGTGCTGGCAACCCTGAGCAGGAGTGGGCCGTCATGGCCAGTCCAGGTGGAAAAGGAATGAGTCAGTGGAGGGCTGGGACAGATGGGAAGCTAAGACAGGCTGCTGGAGGGAGCAGCTCCTGCCTCCCCAGCTTTGCAAGCCCTGGGGCTGAGTGGTGATGCAATGTGACCCTGGGGCTGTGCAGGGAGCAAACTGCTGCACCAAGTGCTGCATCTACCTGGGAAATGCTATGCTTGTGCCTGGCTGCCCCATGCGAAATACAGGAGGAAGGTTGTGTCCCAAAATGCATCTCGGATGGGCTGAGTGCCCAGAGCGGATGGCGTGGCAGTTAGGGGATGAAACATTGCTATGCACTGAGAAACCCCCCAAGCCAGTGCTCACACTGCTGGATTTGAGGTTTGGTTTATGGCAGCCATTCATTTTACACCAGGTACCATAATTTCAGACCCCCTTTCTCAAAAAAAAGCAGCTCTTTAAATATTGGTTACCCACCCTGCATCCTGCCCCAGCCCCTTCCATGGGCGTCTTTACCTCCCTACAGCGGAGCGCCCTGCCGGTGCTGTCCCCTCTGCCGAGCAGTGACCTCCCTCTCCATAGGACCATTTGCCCCTCCTTTGTGCATGGAGCCAGCTCCCAGGACATCTGCCAGCCCCACAGCCCTGACACGCCCCACAGCTTCTCTGTTCTTGATGGACTTTCACCTGGGAAGAGCCGGGAGCCATGGCAAACCCCCAGTCCTTCCCCTGGTCCCAGCAGCCACAGCGTCTCCCTTCCTGGATGTGGGTGGGTGCTGAATCTCTTTTCCAGACTCAGGTCTGCTCTGGGTTCAGCCCTGCTCCATGCAAACCCTATCAGGATATCCAGCTGCTTGTTTTAATGGCCGGAAAGCGAGCGGTTTGCCTTCTCAATAGCTATCACTGCGAGGGAGGTAAAAACAACTGGCTGGTGCAGTTTCCCTGCTGCAGCAGCAAGAGGCTTAAGAGGGCTGTAATGGGCTGTTGCCATCCCCATATCCTGCGGCTGGACCCTGCCCTTCCCAGCTCAGCTCCCACACTGCTCAGTGGGTTTGGGGCATGGTGAAGGGCATGGGGCCTTTCTCCTACAGACCTACACGGTTTTTGGAAATGCCCAAGCCCATCGAGGAGCCTTTCATTGCTGTTTTCTTCCCCAGCCTTACATTCTGGTACATCAGGGAGAAGCAAATAGGATGTTTCAGTCCTGCACTCAGCAGGATTTAAGCCCACCATCCGTCTTGAAAAAGATCCTTGGTACTCAGTTTCAGGGTCCCAAAACTCCAAATTCCAACAAGAATTTCTTTGGAGCTTTCCTCTGTGCAGCCAACTCCGTGCCTCAGTTTCCCTCCTTGCAACACATTGCTAAGGGACAGGGAGGTCGAGCAGCTCCGCAGGCAGGGAGTGCAAGCAGCCAGGGGTTTGATTTGCTTCTGTCTCTTAATAGCTATGTTAGATCTCTTCCCTCCCTGCTCAGTTTCTCTTTTGCACCAGGTCCTTTTGCAACCTAATTAGCAATTTAATGAAAACAACTCAAGGTGCTGCAGATGGCCCTGTGGTGCTGCTGGGAGGCAGTGGGAGAATGCAGCCAGGCATTGCAGCAGCTGCGCTGAGTCCCCGATTAGAAGCCCAGCATCACAAAGCCTCCTTGGCACAGGACATGCCATTAGCAAACAGACCTGTGAAATGAAATGTGAAACTTGGCTTCTCACCAGCATCCCGAGCCGGTGAGAACTGTGCTCTGGGCTTGTTTGTTCGTCACTCCCAGGTAAATAAATACGTGCTTGCCAGCAAGCCGGGAGCAGGGCCAGAGATAGAAGTGATTTTTCCTTTTGTGTCTGAAGTTTCTGCGCTGCTATTTCAGGCGTAATTCGGATGACCCAGGCTGAGGGTCCCTTCCTGCCCCCATCCCCACACAGCTTCTAACCCGAATCAGGGCTCACAGTGCAGCTGCAGTCTCCTGATTTCCACAGAGAGCTGCTCTGTGCTTTGATTCACAAAGCCTGGTCCTGGACGTCTATCCTGACCACAGCATGGTGGGGAAAAGCATCCAAACTGGAGCACTCTGCAGGTTCCATCCACACTGCCAGCATTTGGGCGGACCCAGACCCGTGTCCTCTGCGTCACCCAACAGTCTCTTTTAGGGTGGGCCTGCAGCTGTTTGCAGCACCAATTTGTGAAGCCCTTGGTTGGAGCTTCCAGCACTGCCCACTGAGCTGTGAGCAGACACAGGACTGTTGTGGAGCTGGTGTGTCCTGGTGGCACTTCACCATGGGAACAGCATCCTGCAGGGACATGGGACATCAGGGCTGTGGGACGGCCTGCTCCTATCCCAGTCCTGCAGCCTGCGCTCCTCCTCCCAGCAGGATCTGCTCCTTGTGCAGCCCAGCTGTGCCTCATCAATACATTTTCTCCCCATGAAGCTTTCCTCCCCGAATTACAAGGCTGTTTCCGATGGGAACGCTTTTATTGCTGCTCCAAGAAGTGGAGTCACTGCTGAATTTCTCTTTTCTCTGATCTGCAGCTTGTGTGTGGGCAGTGTGACCCTCTGCCAGGCTGCCTTGTTGCTGGGGGAATGGAGAGCACTGCAGGGATGGGAGCAGTGCCTGGAGCAGTGCTGCTCCTCCCTGGTCCCATGGAGGACCCTGTGAGGCCATGCAGCTGATGCTCGCCTTCCTCTCCTCCTAGATTGCCTCTTCAAAGTGTGCCCCATGAACCGCTACTCCGCCCAGAAGCAGTACTGGAAGGCCAAGCAGACCAAGCAGGACAAGGAGAAGATCGCAGACGTGGTGCTGCTGCAGAAGCTCCAGGTGAGCGGAGCTCATGGCTACCAGCATTGGGATCCAGTTGTGAGCAGTCCCTGGGCAGAGGTTGGCCTCCAAACCTCTCACCCTGCAAACCCTCTGGTGTTTTGCTTCCTGGAAAGCTGCACGGCCAGCCAGGACCATCTGGGTTTTGCTGTATTCAGATGTTCTTCTGCTGTCCCACTGCCCTCTTCTTGCTGTGGATCTTTGTCCCGGGGCAGAGCTGCACAGAGGGACTGAGCTGTGGGGAGGAGGAGATGCTGGGGTAGGGGATGGCATCTGTCTGGCCATGCCCAGCCCTGTGCTGTCTCAGCCCCATAGCAGAGGAGCAGGGGGAGCTGCTACAAGCAGGACCTGCTCCAAAGGGCTGGGGAAGCGAAAGGCTCCTGTTGACTTCCATAAGATTTGGAAAAGGCCCATTTTAAACATTGCATAATCTCCTCAGACAGCTGGCGAGGCCCTGAGGATGATTCATAGAAGTGAAGCTCAGGCAGGATTCATTAAGTCATCTCGTTGGGCTCCGAGCCGGGCCTCTGTGCTCCCCCAGTTTTGCCTTTGCTGAATGAGGACTGAAGCAGCATCCGGCCAGGGCTGGGGGCACCAAGACAGGGTCAGCACTGCCATGACCATGCACACAGCTACACAGATCCCTGCCCTGCTGGGCCTGTCATGTTGGCAGCTGCACTGGCCATGGCTGGACAGAGAGGCTCATTTCCGAACTTGATTGATTGAACCTTGCTTTGGATTTGTCTTCAAGAGGTCCTGTGATTTCCTCGCTCCATCCCGCTGCTCCTGGTGCTGCGCTTTGGGCTCAGCAAGGTGCTACCTGTGCTGCTGTGCAGGCTTGAGCTCCATGGAGGCTTTTGTCCTTCTCCTGACGCTTCTGGGGCTGCCAACCCCAGTGCGCATCCCTGATGCCTCTGTCCCCACATGGACAGACTGCCCTACAGACTCAGGGCAGCCCATTCCCACTCAGTGAGAAAAGAATTTGTCCTTGTAGACCACCCACCCCATCCTCCTGCAGGGTGCAGACTGCAGCAGGATGGACAGGGATGGATGCTTCCCCAGCCCCGTCCCTCACTGTGGTTTCCCATCTCAGCTGCATAGGGCTGATGCTGCACCCTTGTGTCCCCAGAAACAGATTCCTGCCTTGCTCTGTGCTTGCTGACAGCTCCCCTTCCACTGCCAAAGCTGCCATGGAAAATACCTGTAGTTTGGAGAGTGGCTGGTGGGCTCAGCCTGCTGCAAGCAGGGCCAAGCAATTACAATAGTTCTTGGGTTTTTTGGCCTATGTGGACCTCTCCACATCCATCACGGCAGGCACAGACCTGCCACCAGCTCCAGGAATGGCTCTGCCTACTTGGAGCTTTCTTTTTTTGCATGCTTGTTGGGGTGCTGCCAGGAGTCTCTGGTACCAGCAGCCCTGCTGGGTGGAAGCATCGCTCGTCCCCAGGTCCCTTTGGAATGCTGCCCCATATTGGGGAATTCTGGAGAAGCTTGTCCAAATTTTAAAGCTTGCATAGGCTTCATGTGGCTGTGCAGGGCCACAGCAAGGTGCTGGGCTCAGCCCTCAGATGCTGAGAACCATCTTATGGCTCTGGATGGTGGTCCTGGGGGACAGCAGGAGGTGTCCCCTGCACTTCCTATATCTCGGGGTGCAGGTGGTTCCCCAGGGTTCACACCAGGGACAGGAGGCTGTGACCATGATGAGCTCTTCTCCTTTTGGCATTCAGCATGCAGCCCAGATGGAGCAGAAGCAGAACGAGACGGAGAACAAGAAGGTGCACGGGGACGTGGTGAAATATGGCAGCGTCATACAGGTATGGGCGGCCCTGGGCTGTGCTGGTCGGTGGTTTGGTGGGAAAACACTCAGATCCAGCGACTGCAAGTTGGGCGGCTGCTGGGAAGGGGCTCACCGTGTCCCTGCTGGAGGTCCAGCCCTGGGATCTCACACTTGTGGTTGCCTCCTCAGCTCCTGCACATGAAGAGCAACAAATACCTGACAGTGAACAAGCGGCTGCCAGCCCTGCTGGAGAAGAATGCCATGCGGGTGACGCTGGATGCCACCGGCAATGAGGGCTCCTGGCTCTTCATCCAACCCTTCTGGAAGCTGAGGAGCAATGGAGACAATGTGAGCGCAGGGCTGGAAATTCCCCCAAAGCAGATGAGTTCTTGGTGTTGGCCCTGCCAGGGCTCACCTCCCTGTCGGGTGCCCATCTCATTCTCTGTGCCCTGTTCCCATTTTGCTTCCCAGGTAGTTGTGGGAGACAAAGTCATCCTGAACCCCGTGAATGCTGGGCAGCCGCTGCACGCCAGCAACTATGAGCTCGCTGATAATGCAGGCTGCAAGGAGGTACGGGGCTGCCTGCAAAGGGCCTGGCTTGGAGAACTTGCCTGCTTTTTCCTTTTTCCTTTTCCCTTTTCTTCTTTCTTTTTCATTTCCCTCTCTGGGATCATGACCTCATTCTCTTGCTCCTTAGGTGAACTCGGTCAATTGTAACACCAGCTGGAAAATCAACCTCTTCATGCAGTTCCGTGACCACATGGAGGAAGTGTTGAAGGGGGTAAGGAAGGAGGGTTGGCCACTGGCCATGGGGACACCATGGGGTCAGAGGACCCCACGCTGATCCCTTGTCAGGCAGGACATGCAAATAGCTGCTTGGCAGTGAGACAAGGGCAGCATGCCTCAAGGATCTTGATTTGCAGGAGAATTCATCACTTGGAGCACCTAACAGTGTGCTGGAATTGGGGATTTTAGTACCCACTGTCAGCAGGTACCCCAGAGGGCATCAGGTTTCCATCTGCCTTCTTGTATTAAGTTGTCTCTTGAGGACAATTTGAGGCACACATGGTGCCAGCAGTGTTTCTAGCCACAGGGACAGCTTTCAGCTGTTAAGCCATGCAGCAGGGCTGGCTGCTGCCTGGGAAAGGAATTTTCCCTGCAGAGCTATTGTTCAGGTCCTCCAGGAAGCAGCTGGATGGATATTGATTGTGAGGACCTTGCAGATCCCCATCCCCAGGCGCCTGCTTATCCCTGGCTTCCTCTGCATCCTCCTGCTGGGGCATGAATGCCATGACAGCACTGGTGAGCGGAGCCTCTGCCCGCTCCAGAGGTGCAAAGTGGGGAGTAGGAACAGAGAGAAGCAGTTTACACAAGTAAACAGAGTGATGGCATTGCAGAGTAAGGGTATCCCATGTCCCCACCACTCTGTACATGTGCAAGGTGCTTTCCCTCAATTCAGAGGGTATAGGATGGGTAGGACTGCAAGAGCTGGCAATGCCCTGCAGCCAGGAGCTGCACCCTGCTCTGGGCCACGTGTGGGTGATCCCAGCCCCTTTGCAGGGCTGTGGGGCCAGAGGAGGAGCTGCACTGGCTTGCAGGAGGTGAACCACAGCCATGGGGCACGGAGCGAATGCTGCCTCTGTGTCCTCACTGTCACATCCCGGTGCCAGGGGGACGTGGTGAGGCTCTTCCACGCCGAGCAGGAGAAGTTCCTGACCTGTGATGAGTACAAGGGCAAGCTGCACGTCTTCCTGCGCACCACCCTGCGGCAGTCGGCCACCTCAGCGACCAGCTCCAATGCCCTCTGGGAGGTGGAGGTGAGTGGGGCTGAGGGATCTGGGGAGATTTCATAGTGCAGGCTGCCCCCCTCCAGCCCCTCGGTGGCTGTCTCGGGTCCGTGCCCAAGTTTATTGACTTGTGGGCACTTTTGAGGTAGGATGGATCTGCGTTGTTGGGGTGTTTGCTTGGGCAGCCCCACTCTGAACCCTCCTCTGCTCCTTCCAGGTAGTTCACCACGACCCGTGCCGAGGAGGGGCTGGGCACTGGAATGGCTTGTACCGCTTCAAGCACCTCGCCACGGGCAACTACCTGGCAGCAGAGGTAAGGGGGCAAGCAGAGAGGTGTAGAAAGATGCCCTGACTTGAGAGGCTGCAAAAACACCGTCCCTTAGAGCAGTGATGTCCTGTCTTGCCTTGTCCCCTCATGCCACGACATGGGGGCATTTGCAGGACAGCACCCGGCTCTGCTCCCATTTGCTTTTGCAGCATTCTGCCCTTGCAGGTAGAGATGCTGACACCGAGGCCATGAGCAATGTCGGGATTTGCCCGTTTGTCCCCTCCAAAATCCCCTGCCCTGCAGTGCTACATGCACTGCCAACATCACTTCTCCCTCTGACCCTGGCACACAGAACTGGGATGTGGGGGGGTGGCTGGGATTTTCCTCTGTTTGCTCACCCTGGGCCAAGCTGTCCCAGCACAACCTTGTGAGATGGAAGCAGGAGATAACTCATCCGGCTGTGTTTAACTCTTCCTGACCAAGTTTTACCCTTCCTCATCCTCTGGTATCCTAGCCAGGATGCTAGGGGAGGCATGGACAAAATCTGAGCCTGGAAACACCATCTGCCAGGTGGTTTTTGCTCCCATTTAATTGGCTCAAGGCCTCCTGATAAAGATGCAAAGGGGTTTCTGCACTTAAAGAATGTGGTTTATATGACTGCTGCCAGGGAAGCAAGGCTGTGCCTGAGGGTGCTGGGTGCATCCCATGCCAAAGGTGTTCCAGCATTGCAAAAGATGACCAAAGGCAGTCACCCAGGGCCCCTTCTGCCACTGGCAGGTCTGCCTCCAAAATGGCTGCTGAACTGGTGTACTTTCAACCATAAGGCATGCAGGTGGCATTGGAAGAGGAAAGAAGATCTCCTCTCAGGCTGCTGCTGCCTGGCTTGCATTGCTCAGCGAGACCCCAGCCTGGGGCCTCAAGGGATTCCCAGCAGGAGCTCATCCTGCTGCAGTGCAGAGCCCCAGCTGTGAACCAGGGCTCAGCCTCTCCCTCTCTTCTCTCATGGGGCTGGAGCACTCTGCACTGGGGATGGGTCCTGTCCTCCAGCCCCATCTGGGCAGGTTTCCTCTCCGCACTGTGATGAAGCAAGGCAGGAACAGGGCCTACACCCCACACTCGGGGCTTTGGAGGGGCCGAGGGGGAGGGCTGATAGCTGTCTTTCATCTCCCTCTTTAACTTTTCAGGAAAACCCAAGTTATAAAGGAGACGTGGCTGAGCCCAAAGCAGCGCCCACGGTGAGCTGTGTGCAGCCTCGCTAGCAGAAATGCTGCTGCCGCTGCCTGAAACCACGCTGCCTCTTAGATTCTGCCTGAAAACAGGGAAATGCTCCAAAAGAGAGCCTGTGCCATGCTGCCGAGTCCTGCTTGGTGGCTGCCCCACCGCAGGGCTGCCCAGCAGAGCACCCCACATCCCGCACCGCAGAGTAGCATCCCCATGTCCCGCTTGCGAGGGGATCCCACCCACATCTGTTGGAGGGGTCCCAGTGCATGTTGGATCACCAGACCACGGGGGTGTGCAAGTGAAGCGCTGGTAGAAGAGTGATTTGGACTTGCAGGGGTTTTTTCTCATTGCCCTTAGTGAGGTTTGGAGAAGGGGTGGCCTCGTGCCGTGCTTGTGCTCTTGCAGCCCCTCCGTCTCTGCGCTGCAAGGCTCAGCTCAGCATCTGAGCAAAAGCTTCTGCCCTGAGCATTGCTGCTGTGTGTCCTCCGATGCCATGTGTGCAGGGAGGCCGGGCTCAGTGGGGTGGTCACCCCACGCCTGGCTCAGAGCCGTTTCCCTGCTGCAGGGGGGGAGCAGCCGCTCCAGCCGCAGGAACACGGGGGAGAAGATCAAGTACCGGCTGGTGGCCGTGCCCCACGGGAACGACATCGCCTCCCTCTTCGAGTTGGACCCCACCACGCTGCAGAAGACAGATTCCTTCGTCCCACGGTACGTGAGCATGTGCCAGCATGGAGGGGTTGAAATAGAGAGGGAGGGTTGATCGTGTGCTGCGCTGGGGCCCAGTCTGCTCCTGGAGGGGCTTTGCTGGGTGCGCTCACCGAAGCGTGGTGCCGTTTGCAGGAACTCTTACGTGAGGCTTCGCCACCTCTGCACCAACACCTGGATCCAAAGCACCAACGTGCCCATTGACATTGATGAGGAAAGACCCATCCGCCTCATGGTGCGGCCCTGTGCCCTCCTTCCTTGCACAGATTTATCCCCCTGCTCCATCCTCCTTCCCTCCTGGCTTTACCCAGTGGCTCCCCTGGCTTCACCTGGGGACTGAGGTACCCTGATGGGCACCAAGTCCACAGCCTCCCCCAGTACCTCGAGCCCATCCTACTCCTTTCAGGAGGGACCAACTGTGTTCCTGATGTCATCTCTGTGGTTGGCAGCTGATGGAGACACTCACCGCAGCCCTACCTGTGTGACACTGCTTCTCTGTTCCTTCCCAGCTGGGCACGTGTCCCACCAAAGAAGACAAAGAAGCATTTGCCATTGTCTCTGTGCCTGTGTCTGAGATCCGGGACCTGGACTTTGCCAACGACGCCAGCTCAATGCTGGCCAACGTGGTGGAGAAGATGAACGAAGGTTTTCTTAGCCAGAACGACCGGAGGTAAAAAAAATAAAATAAAAGTCATTTTCCCGTGGAAATGGGGCCATGCCAGGGTCTTCCAGTGTTGCTGTGGGACGGGGCCCCTGGCTGGGTCTTGGTGCCAGCGCTGCTTTGCTTTCCTGCCTGCAACCCAAATCCACGCCTGCTTCTCCCAGGGGTCTGGCGAGGAAATCAGATAACACCACAGACCCACTCCGGCCCCTCCTTTGCTGCTAGAAAAATAAGCGAGGGGCTGGGAGATGGCCTCGTGATAGGGGCAGCCCAGTTAGTCACGGTGTTATTTTTAGGTGGGTGGGTTCTTGGTGTTTCCTGCACAAACAGAGATACTCTGTGGGACGGAGCGAGCCGCTGCCGCCCTGCCAGCCCACTGCTTTGCAGTGCTTGCTGTGATTGTGACTCAAGGGGCAGAAGACTTGCACACAAAACTCCAGCCGTGAATCACAAGCAGAAGCCTGTGGTGTTTAGCCTGGCACCTGACTCACAACAATAATTTCCTTAGGAAGCGCAGGCGCTGCAAAATCTCACGGTTGAGGGCAGCTGCGGGCCTTTCATAGATGGGGAGGATCAACCAGCAGTGTCCTGAGCCCTGAGCTTTTTGGCCCTACACAATGTGCCAGCGGCATTGCGGGGAGCTGAGTGTGGGTGGGGTGTGCAAGTGGCTCCCCTGACTGGAGGGTCCCACCACCACGCTGTGCCCCTTTGCAGGTTTGTGATCCAGCTGCTGGAGGACTTGGTGTTTTTTGTCAGTGATGTCCCAAACAACGGCCAGAACGTGCTGGACATTGTGGTGACCAAACCCAACCGGGAAAGGCAGAAGCTCATGCGGGAGCAGAACATCCTGAAGCAGGTGAGTGGCCCTGGGGCTGTGCACCCAAGGAAGGCGGATGTCCTCAGAGGCCTGCTGCCCTGCCCTGAACCACAATAGAGACTATTTCCAAAAAAGCCCATGGAGGAAGTGGTACTGGTCTCCAGTTCACGCCCTTGAGTTCTGCCAAGCCATCTTGGGAGGCAGTGTGGAAGGCATGCAGCATTTATTTCTACTTTTGGACAGATCTTTGGGATCCTGAAAGCCCCCTTCAAGGACAAGGGTGGGGAAGGGCCCCTGGTGCGGCTGGAGGAGCTGTCGGACCAGAAGAATGCTCCCTACCAGTACATGTTCCGGCTGTGCTACCGTGTGCTCCGGCACTCCCAGGACGACTATCGCAAGAACCAGGTGGGTTGGGGGTGTCAAGAAAAGCCCCCCTCCCATCTATGTGTTGCACATCTCCAGGGAGCTGAAGAGGTCTTGTTGGGGCGGAGAGGGCATGGACAGATCCTGATGCACAGCTTTGAGTGCTCACTGCTCCTCTGCTCACTCCAGGAGCACATAGCCAAGCAGTTCGGCATGATGCAGTCCCAGATTGGCTACGACATCCTGGCCGAGGACACCATCACAGCCCTGCTGCACAACAACCGCAAGCTGCTGGAGAAGCACATCACCAAGACCGAGGTGGAGACCTTCGTCAGCCTGGTGCGCAAGAACCGTGAGCCACGGTGCGTGTCCTGCGCCCCAGCCCAGAGGGCTTTGTGCAGCATGGTGGTGGGGTGTGCTGCAGCAGGCTGGAAGTGGACCCCCCCTTTCACAGCAAGCTGTCTCTGCCTTGCTCTCATTCCCAGGTTTTTGGACTACCTCTCAGACCTGTGCGTGTCCAACCACATTGCCATCCCCGTCACCCAGGAGCTGATCTGCAAGTGTGTGCTGGACCCGAAGAACAGTGACATCCTCATCAAAACAGAGTGAGTAGCCCAGCAGAGAGGTTTCCTTGGCTGAGTGCCTGCCCCTGCCTGCTGCCAGCTCTCACAGTGGCCCCATAAATCCCATAGTACCCCCGTCACCTCTTGAGATGCTGCATCCATAGGAACACCTCCAGGTTTACTCCTTTCCCACTGCAGGCTGAGGCCGGTGAAGGAGATGTCCCAGACCCACGAGTACCTGAGCATCGAGTACTCAGAGGAGGAGGTCTGGCTCACCTGGACAGACAAAAACAATGACCACCATGAGAAAAGCATCCGGCAGCTGGCGCAGGAGGCCCGGGCTGGCAATGCCCATGATGAGAATGTCCTCAGTTACTACAGGTGGCAATCCCATGGTATCTTTTCCCCAGACAGGGTGAGGACATAAGAGTTGCATAGCCTCACTCTCTCCTCCTCGTCCCCATGCAGGTACCAGCTGAAGCTCTTTGCTCGCATGTGTCTGGACCGCCAGTACTTGGCCATCAAGGAGATCTCCCAGCAGCTGGGTGTGGACCTGATCTTCCTCTGCATGGCAGATGAAATGCTGCCCTTCGATCTCCGAGCGTCCTTCTGCCACCTCATGCTGCACGTGCACGTGGACAGGGACCCTCAGGAGCTGGTGATGCCCGTGAAGTTTGCACGGCTCTGGACTGAGATCCCCACCGCCATCACTATCAAAGAGTGAGACACGCCGGGTCTCGCTGCAGCTTTGAGGGATATGGGATGGCAGGTGCCATCCTCTGTAGGGACTGGATAGGCACCAGCAGGGACCGGGAGGGGGGCACCTTCCCGACTGCTCGCTGCCCTGTGCTCACCCTGCTGTCTCCCCACGCAGCTACGACTCCAACCTCAACGCCTCACGTGACGACAAGAAAAACAAGTTTGCCAGCACCATGGAGTTTGTGGAGGACTACCTCAACAACGTGGTGAGCGAGGCAGTGCCCTTTGCCAACGAGGAGAAGAACAAGCTCACCTTCGAGGTGCGAGAGCTGCCGGTGTCACGTCGTGTTGTGGGATGTGGCATTGGCCGTGGAGGCCATCGGCCTCATCCAGACCTTGTGGCTGCCTCTGTGACATCCCATGTTTGTTCCTCCTGCTCGTCCCTGAGCACAGCAAGGTCTGGAGTTGCCTTGTCCTTCCCCAGGTCGTCAGCCTTGCCCACAACCTCATCTACTTTGGCTTCTACAGCTTCAGTGAGCTGCTGCGCCTGACGCGCACGCTGTTGGGCATCATCGACTGTGTCCAAAACCCCCAGCTGATGATGCAGGCGGTCTACAGTGATGAGGTGACAGGTGAGTCCGTGCTCTGTAGGCAGGCATGGTCCCAGGGCAAAATGGTTTCTGCCCAGTGCTATCCAGTTTGGGCTGCAGGAAAACAAGCCACCCATTTGATCACATGGAAACTTGGGCTGGGGCTGAAATGAGTCTTTGTCACCCATTGGCAAGTCCTGTCAAGCTCTTGGCCATGGCTGAGAAGAAGCGAGTCCTTCCTGCTCATTTTCTGGTTAACACCCATAGTATTTTCCAGTCTAAGTGGGTCTTTCTGTTGGTCCTCTCCCGCCTCTCTGTCTGCCTTAACTCTACAGGGAAGAATGTGAGGAGGTCAATCCAGGGCGTTGGACAGATGATGTCCACGATGGTGCTGAGCAGGAAACAGTCTATCTTCAGCCCTCCGAGCCTCAGTGCTGGCTCTGCCCCAGAGCCTGTGGACAGGGGGAGGAGCGTCGAAAATGAGAACATTGTGGTGATGGAGACCAAGCTGAAGATCCTGGAGATCTTGCAGGTGGGAGGAGAAGCATCATGAAGTTGCAAGGGGATGAGGGAGACATGGTTTTCTGATGCAAAGAAGCAGATGACGTGATCAGAGGACTCACTTTTGCTTTCTTCTCTCTCTGCTTCTGCCAGTTCATCCTGAATGTGCGGCTGGACTACAGGATTTCCTACCTGCTTTCTGTCTTCAAGAAAGAATTTGTGGAAGTCTACCCCATGCAGGACAGTGCAGCTGACGGGACGGCTCCAGCCTTTGACTCCACAAGTAACTCTTCCCTTCGCTCCTGGCACAGCCAGGGACATGGGGGGGGTAGCTCCAGCTGCAATCCATACACTGGCAGGGAATTGGGGGATTGAAGTTTGTGCAGGATAGATGAGGGGTCTCGTGTCCATCATGGGTGCTTGGACCGTGGTCTGCAGGGAGCTGGGCTGGCTCCTGCAGGAATTCTGTTGGTGCACGGGGGTCACGTTGGTCTCCCCATTTATCTCCCTTTCCTCTCCCTTCAGCTGCAGCAATGAACTTGGACCGGATCGGCGAGCATGCAGAGGCCATGTTTGGTGTGGGGTGAGTCCCTGCCCCTGGTGCACAGTTAGCCTGGCTGGAGGGCTCTTCCCTCTCCTGCCCATACTTGCTGCTGGGGCTCAGAGCTGCAGGTGATGAGGAAGATGAAACTCTGAAGGCCCATGCAGCTGTCCCATCTGTCCTGAGAGGTGACAGAGTACATGCCAGCTCCCACGTGGCTGCTAACACAAGCATTTTTGTCCTGGCTCCAGGAAGACGAGCAGCATGCTGGAGGTGGATGACGAAGGAGGGAGGATGTTCCTGCGGGTGCTGATCCACCTGACAATGCACGACTACCCACCGCTCATCTCCGGCTCCTTGCAGCTCCTCTTCAAACATTTCAGCCAGAGGCAGGAGGTCTTGCACACCTTCAAGCAGGTAACCCTGGAGAGGCTGCATCTGCTGGCCCCTTTGGAGGACATCTGGGTGAGGAGGGGAGTGGGGCTTATTCTGCAAGCAGCTGCACAGGGAAGTCCCTGTGAATGTCACTGCAGGTTCAGCTCCTGATCTCAGCCCAGGATGTGGAGAACTACAAGGTGATCAAGTCAGAGCTGGACAAACTGCGCACCATGGTGGAGAAATCGGAGCTGTGGGTGGACAAGAAAGGCAGCGTCAAAGGAGACAGCAATGTGGATGGGAACAAGAAGGAGAAGAAAGAGGTGAGAGCTGTGAGCAATATGTGGAACCAGGGTGAGTGAGCAGCTGGGGACAGACCTCTCGATGGAGCATGCCCGGTGCTCTGGGAAGAGGAGGGCAGAGAGGGTCCTGTCACTCTCCAGGCTTTGGGGAGGTGTGGTGGGACCCTGAAGCCATTTCTGTCCCTTGCAGCACACTGCTGATGAAGAGGTCATTGCTCCAGGAGAGAAGAGCAGCGAGAACTATCAGATAGTCAAGGGGGTAAGAAAGACCACAAGCTAACCCCAGAGCTGGCTGGTGCACCAGTGAGAAGGGAGAGAGGGAAACTGAGGGGAACTTCAGATCTCCTCAGTGGTTCAGTAGAAATGAATCCAAGCCAGGGCTCATTCCTGCCAGCTCAGCACACAAGGAGCCCATTAAGTCCCTGGGTTTGCAAATGAGACTCACCCTGGTGACAGTGGAGGGTAGGGGGTTGGTGATGAGTACAAACACTCTCTGCTTTACACTTTTAAGAAAGATTTCCGAGTGGAATGCTGCGATCTGTGAGCGATACCCAAAGCTGGGCTTGAAGGAACCATCTGGGCTTATGATGGGCACATCTGGGTTTCAAGCAGGTCCCCAGGGCTGGTGGCCTGGGGCTCTCAGGCTCAGTTCCCCTTTGGCCACTGTCCTTCTGTCCCCAGATCCTGGAGCGGCTGAATAAGATGTGTGGAGTTGGAGAGCAAGTGCGCAAGAAGCAGCAGCGCCTGCTGAAGAACATGGATGCCCACAAAGTGATGCTGGATCTGCTGCAGATCCCTTATGAGAAGGTGGGGGGACAGAAGCCAGCTGGTTTCAAAGTGCACGGAGCAAGGGGTGGGAACATGGGGACATCCTGCATAGTTGGGTCCTGTTCTCCGTTTATTACCAACCCCAAGTGTTTGTCCTTTCTGCCCTTCCTCAGGGTGATGCCAAGATGATGGAGATCCTCAAGTTCACCCATCAGTTCCTGCAGAAGTTTTGTGCTGGCAATCAGGAAAACCAGGCTCTGCTGCACAAACACCTCAACCTGTTCCTGACCCCGGGGGTAAGGAGAAGAGACCAAAGGACTTTAGTATCAGTCCTGGGATTGAGAGCAGGAGATAGAAAAACCAGAAGAAGACACGCAGAGGAGGCAGGACCAGGACAGGAGGGGAGGCTGTGCCTCGCAGCCCCCGGCCTCACTCTGTCTCCCTGGTCCCACAGCTCCTGGAGGCTGAGACAATGCAGCACATCTTCCTCAACAACTACCAGCTCTGCTCAGAGATCAACGAGACGGTGCCACAGCACTTCATCCACTGCGTGGCCACCCACGGCCGCCATGTGCAGTACCTGGACTTCCTGCACACCATCATCAAGGCCGAGGGCAAGTACGTCAAGAAGTGTCAGGACATGATCATGACCGAGGTGAGCACCTCTTCTCCTGCCCATGGGTTGTAAGCACAGGGGTCCTGGGAGGAGCGTGGTTATTTTCTCCTTTGGGCACTAGTCTTCCCAACCACATGTTGGTTTCTCCCTGGAGTTGGAAGAAATACCTCTAAGAGATGCAAGGTCTGAGAGCCAATAAACACTTTGGCATCCTACAGGTTGTGATTTTTGATTGCACTGCAAACACCTGATTTTCCCCACGAATACACAACCCTTTTACCTCACCCTGGGTGCTCCATCTCATCGCCCCAGTGCAGAAGATGTCATGGTGAGGTTTTTCATCCTTCTCTGGAGCAGTGACTGGTGACTCTTCCCAACAGCTCACCAATGCTGGGGACGACGTGGTTGTTTTCTACAATGACAAGGCATCACTGGCCACCTTGTTGGAGATGATGACAGCAGCCAGGGATGGGGTGGAGGAGAACAGCCCGCTGATGTACCACATCTCGTTGGTGGACCTCCTGGCTGCGTGTGCTGAGGGCAAGAACGTCTACACTGAGATCAAGTGTACATCCCTGCTGCCCTTGGAGGACGTGGTGAGGGTGGTGACCCATGAGGACTGCATCACGGAGGTATGGGCTGCCCAGTGAGGAGGGTGTTGGTGGCTTTGTTCTGTTTTCTATTCCTCTGACGGTGCCTGCACCCCACTCCCTCCCTCCCTGGCAGGTGAAGATGGCCTATGTGAACTTTGTCAACCACTGCTACGTGGACACAGAGGTGGAGATGAAAGAGATCTACACCAGCAACCACATCTGGACTCTCTTTGAGAACTTCACCCTGGACATGGCCCAGGTGCGTGGGTCAGGCTGGGAAGGAGGGACACAGCAGCAATGGCTACTGTGCTCTATGGGGAGAGCTTGGTGTCACCAAAGCCCCTTGACAAACAAGGGGCATGGGCACGACAGAGGCTTCTTCAGCCACATTATGGGTAGCACTCTGGCATAGACCCAGAAGCTGTGTCACCACCCATGCCCCCAGCTCAGCAAGGTGCCAGCAGTGTCCAGCTGTGCTTGTTCACCTGGTTCCGATGCCGTCAGCATCCTCCCTTCTCTTCACAGATGTGCAAAAAGCGAGAGAAGCGCCTGCCAGACCCCACTCTGGAGAAGTACGTGCTGACAGTGGTGCTGGACACCATCAATGCATTCTTCAGCTCTCCCTTCTCAGAGAACAGCACCTCACTGCAGGTAACGGGGTGTTGCATAGCCAGGCCATGCATGGAGTGAGCAGAGGGCTCACCCTTTGGGAAAAGGACTCTGCGAGCACCTTGTACTGATACAGAGCTGCCCATTCTCTCCTTCAGACCCACCAGACCATTGTGGTGCAGCTTCTCCAGTCCACCATGAGGCTGCTGGAGTGCCCCTGGCTGCAGCAGCAGCACAAGAGCTCAGTGGAGGCCTGCATCCGAACGCTGGCGATGGTCGGTAAGGAGCTGTGCTGGAGGGATGCCCTGCTCCCTGCCTGCTAGAGGGATGCAGCTGTTCCAACTGCTTCTGCTCCAGCAGCAGGCAACAGCCATCATTCCTACTGCAGCCATGGCAGGATGCCCTGGGGAGGCTGTCTGCTGGGAGCAGGGAGCTGTGGCTCTGGGATGTGCCTTTTGAGCTCCGTGTTTTGTGTCTGGTGTGGCCAGAGGAGAGCTGAAGCTTGGGCTTGGTTGGGGAATTCCTGGTGTGTCCTTGCTGGTGCAGAGCCCAGAAAGAATGCTGGCGTTTGTGGCAGCTTTCCCTCGCCAAGACTTTGCCCTCAGCCTGCCTGCAGCTGCCTTACTCAGGACAAGGGTTGTTAGCACTGAGTCACCATGTGGAAAGCATTGCTTAGATGCTGGGTGGAGACACTGGCCGGAGATGTAGGATTCCCCTTTGTAATTGCAGCCTCTCTGCACTGGGCTTTTCCAACTGAAAACCAGAGGCGGTGCCTCTTCCCACCCCGTGCTGGGCAGTGGAGGCTGTAGGCAATGGGTGCTGCACTGGGGAGTGGAGGGTGGAAGTAGCACAGGCACCACCAGTCTGGAGGGCTTTTCTCTTGTATTTTATTCATATCTTCTTTACTGCAAATGAAGAGCAGGTGAAAGGGTGCCCAGCCTGGGGCTGTGTGGTAGCCGATGTGGCAGCTGATGATTCATGGCTGTCCCCAAACCCTTCCCCCTGTCCTGCAGCCAAGAGCCGCTCCATCGCGCTGCCCATGGACCTGGATGCCCACGTCAGCTCCCTGCTCAACAGCAGCTCCACCAGCACCGTGCAGAGGAACACATCCAGCTACAAGACGGCCACGCGGACCTTCCCCCGCGTCTCCACCACCCCCAACCAGTGGGATTACAAGAACATCATAGAGAAGCTGCAGGTACGGGGATGCGTGATAGCAGGAAGGTGTGGGCATTGCAAAGTCCCTGTCGTGCGCCGACCTAAAGGTGTGCGCTGTGGTTTGTAGGACATCATTAATGCCTTGGAGGACCGCCTGAAACCGCTTGTGGAGGCTGAGCTCTCTGTGCTGGTGGATGTCCTCCACCGGCCAGAGCTGCTCTTCATGGAGGGCACAGAGGCGTATCAGCGATGCGAGAGTGGAGGTTTCCTGTCCAAGTGAGGATGCTTTGCAGTTGCCATGGGGTTTTTGTGACAGGCTGGGGACCTGCATCCTCGGTGGGTTGTGCGTCCTGGTGGGTTGTGCATCCTGATGCGCATCTGCAGAGTGGAGGGGCGGTGGGATGGTGCCCCTGGGGACCTCCTTGTCCTCTTGGCTACGTGGTGGTGACTCTGCTGTGCATGGCCAGGTTGGTGCAGCACACCAAGGACCTGATGGAGACGGAGGAGAAGCTGTGCATCAAGGTGTTACGGACCCTGCAGCAAATGCTGGTGAAGAGGAACAAGTATGGTGAGAGGGTGAGCATCGCGGCCCTACGGCACATCCCCAGCTCCACTGCTCAGCTGGCAGCTTCCTGCCCACTGCAGTTCTCCAACGCCAGCACTGGCGTTGGGAGCCTTGTGACGTTTATTTGTCTTGGCAGGGCAACCTGCTGCGGAAAATGCTCCTGAACAATTACCTGCAGAACAAGAAGTCCAGCTCCAAAGGGGAAATCGTGGATGCTGCTGGGGGAGGTGAGTGCCCCTCTCCTGCACCTTCCGTGTCTTTCTGTGCTGCTTGTACACGCCTTGAATGCCTGGTTCCAAACCATGGTAGGATCACACCCATGTATGATCTCTGTGCTCCCACCTCCATGGGAGACAGAAGAAAGGATGGGCCTGGTAGTGAGTTGGCTGTGCTTATTTTCCTTCATCACTGCAGCATCACATCCATCTGTGTCCTCTCCTGCAGGCCAGGACCAGGACTGGTCTGCTATTGCTGCTGTCCAGTGCCGGCTGGACCGAGAAGGAGCCACCAAGCTGGTGGCTGACCTCATCATGAACACCAAGAACGAGAAGATCTTCCAGGAGAGCATCCTGCTTGCCATTCGGCTGCTGGATGGGGGCAACACCGAGATCCAGGTGCCTGTGGTGGCCATGAGTCCATGGGATGGTTTATGTGTGCATTGTGAAGCACATATGGGGACATATGCAGTATGGGGAGGACAGGTGCAGAGCAGTCCCTGGTCCCTGGTTGGCCTCTGGATAGCAGACTTTGCCAACATTTGGACTGCATATGTTTGCTCACCATCTGGGGGAGGAACTACAGACATTTCTCTGTTTTGGAGTTTTCCTGCTTGGTGACTGGCTAAAGCTCAGGGCTGGATGCTGAAAGGGGCAGGTTGTTGCTGACTGTTTCTGGAGTAATGCTGATGCCCTCTGCTGGGTATCACAAAAATGACTCAGAGTTGCAGCTCTCTGTTGATAACTTGTAGGTTATCTTGAATTCTTTATCATAGGGAAGCCAATAATGTGCAAAAACCTGTGGGGTTCCAAGATTGCGGCTGCTGTAACTGCTGCTTGCTCTGTCCCTAGCCCTGCTGTGGGTAAAGGAGAAGAATAGGCACAGGGCATGCTACACCCCCGTAAATCCAAAAGATTGCAATGCCAAAGGCATAGAAAGTAAAAGATTTAGGGAGAGGCTGGTAGTTGCCTGGTTACTTTCATGGTAGGCTATCCCAAGGTCTGAAGTGCCACAGGCTACCAAACCAGAGGGGCGGTCTGGGGTGGAGACTCCAACTGTGCTTCCTCCACCCAGAAATCCTTTTACAACCTGATGACGAGCGACAAGAAGTCCGAGAAGTTCTTCAAAGTTTTACACGACCGGATGAAGAAGGCTCAGCAAGAGACCAAGTCAACCGTGTCCGTGAACATGAGTGACATTGGGAACAAACCTCGTGAGGACAAGGACGAGCCTGACCCTGGCACCAAAGGTATGGAGCCGTGTCCTCCCAGCAAGGCCAGTGCCTGCCTCGTTGGACAGCCTGATGCTAATGGGGTTGGTTTGCCCCTAGGACGAGGAGAGACCTTCATGATGCCTGGCACCCCCTCCCGATACCCGCTGGCCTTAGGGTTTCGGAAGGGCCACGACGCCGGGGAGCAGGGGCAGAACAATGAGATGGGGGTGACGGTCCTGATTATGGAGCCTATCCTGCGATTCCTCCAACTGCTGTGTGAGAACCACAACCGAGACCTTCAGGTTGGTGCTGGGGGCTGCTAGGGGCTGGGGCAGAAGCCATATGGCTGGGGTGCGGGTTGGATGGGTTCTGCCTCCATTGGGTCCAAACAGGCACTGGCCACTCTGTGCCTCAGCTTCCTATGGATATAACCACCATTCCATCTGCTCGGTATGCTGGAAGGAGCCAATCGGGGCACTCCTGTGTCCATGGGAGCAGGTGCTGCCCTTGAGGGGTCTGCACACACTATAGGAACGGCCCTGGGCCTGATTCTCCATCTCTGGAGGGGACTCTGGAAAGGGGGGTCAGGACCTGCTTCAGGCTCATAACTGCAGGCTTTGCACAACAGAATTTCCTGCGGTGCCAAAATAACAAGACCAACTACAACCTGGTGTGTGAGACACTGCAGTTCCTTGACATCATGTGTGGCAGCACCACGGGTGGGCTGGGGCTGCTGGGCCTCTACATCAACGAGTACAACGTGGCTCTCATCACCCAGACCCTGGAGACCCTGACTGAGTACTGCCAAGGGCCCTGCCATGAGAACCAGGTCTGTGATGTTGTTGTGGGTCTGCATTGTTCCTGCAGCATTTCACCATCCGTTGGGGTACCCAAGGGGGGTTTGGGGGGGAATGCATGGACAGCAGCAGGGATAAGGCCAGTTTTGGGATTTGGGGCATGAAGGAGAGCAGAGCATGGGGAGAAAGGGTACCATGGTGCACAGGGATGGTGCATGGGTTTTCAGTGACTGCTGGGCAGTATAACATTGCATATAATGCTTAAATAATGCTGTGATGGAAACGGTGTCATTGCTGGAGAGAGAAGGGGTTTAGGGCTCCTGGTTCAGTGCTGTAGGCAAGCCACCATTTTGGAGCTGGGCTGTGTTGGATGGTGAAGCTGGGAAGGATGGCAGCATCCATGGGACAAAGAATTGCATTGTTTCCCTAGAGCTGCATCGTGACCCATGAGTCCAATGGGATTGACATCATCACAGCCCTCATCCTCAACGACATCAGTCCCCTCTGCAAGTACCGGATGGACCTGGTCCTGCAGCTGAAGGTGGGCAGAGCCTGGGGCTGGGGTGGGTGGCACATGTGTGAGTTCCCTGCTTGCTGGGCTGAGCTGTGGAGTAAGGCGAGCACTGGGCATGCATCAGGTCTTACATACATGAGCTGGGATAGGGCTGATGCATCCCCACCACAGAAGGTTTGGATGCCTTTAGCACAGGGGCATTTATGACTGACTGCAATGCAAGGGATTTCTGCCCATCCTGAGGTCCTGGGCAGAGCAATGCATAGCTCCTCTCATCAAGGACTGTGTCCCCACCAGGACAATGCCTCCAAGCTCCTCTTGGCCCTCATGGAGAGCAGGCATGACAGTGAGAACGCCGAGCGGATCCTCATCAGCCTCCGCCCGCAGGAACTGGTAAGGGCTGAGCGGGGTGGAAGGGTGAAGGACCCCTGTGAACTTGCTGCTGGACCTCTGCACTTCCAGGTCCTGGTGGGGTTTCAACCCAAACCCACGTTGGCTGCTGCCCTACCAGCAGTCACACACCGCTCTGCACCAGCATCCCTCCTGAGGAGGAAAACAGGGTGAGGGGACCAGGACAAGCTCACTCACCCTCTGCTGCCTTCCAGGTCGACGTGATTAAGAAGGCCTATCTGCAGGAGGAAGAGTGTGAAAACGCCGAGGTCTCCCCTCGGGAAGTTGGCCACAACATTTATATACTGGCACTGCAGGTACTGATGCTGCAATCTGCTGTGACAGCAGTGACCCACCAGGCTGGGCTCCCACTCATCCATTTGCACATCTTATTTATCTACATTTCCTCCAGCCAGGCTGAGAGATGTGCTTTTTGCATTCCCTGAAAACCCGGCATTGTGACTTATTGGCCATCCCACTCCAGTGCTGCAGAGGCTGCTCCATCCCATGCTAATGCAGCTCTTGTTGTTCCTTTCCAGCTGTCCCGACACAACAAGTCTCTGCAGCAGCTCCTGAAGCCGGTGAAGCGAATCCAGGAGGAAGAGGAGGAGGGCATCTCATCCATGGTACAGAAAGTCCTCGGGCATGGAGGCTGCCCCGCTGCTCATCAGCCAAGATTTGGTGGCTTTTGGTATTCCCAGGGTGAACTGGAGAAATAGAGGTTTATAAATGCCCATGTAGCCAAATCAGCACGCCCAATGGCACGTGCATCTGTGTAGCTCAGCTGTTTGTACAGCTCCCTGGGGAAGGCTCAGCACTAGCTGACATCCTGTGTGCTTCAGGGACGGGCTGTGCCTTGCCAGGTTTTCCCCTGCTCCCCTTCTCCTGCCCTTCCCTTCAGAAAAGGAAGGGCTGAGTCCCTCTGCTGCCATTTCTTCCTACTGTACCTCAGCTCCTGAACGAGATTCAGCAGTAATATGATTTCCCTGGGGTTTAGGGGCATTGATTTGTAATTTGTGGATTAGCAGCTTTTGGATGTAATTATTGCAGGGAATCGAATGTCTGTCACCTCAGGGAGCACTTGTACCCCTTTGGGAAGCTTTAATTCATTTGCTTTCTCCTGAAACCTCATCAGGTTCGGTACAATTTGAGGAACAATGTTGTCAGTGCAGTTAGACTTGAACCCCCCCCGGCTGTCCCTGCTCTCACCCTCTCTCCTCTCCCAGCTCAGCCTCAATAACAAGCAGCTGACGCAGATGCTGAAGTCGACGGCCCCAGTCCAGGAGGAGGAGGAGGACCCGCTGGCGTACTACGAGAAGCACACGTCCCAGATTGAGGCAAGACCTGTTTGGGTTGCTAGTACACACAGCTGATGGATCCCACGTGTGCTCTGGCTGCCTCGTGCCCCGTTATTCTGCACCAGGAACCTTCCCAGCCCGCTGCCCATAGGAAGCAGCTGCAAAGAGCTGGAGACATTAGCAGAGCCCATAGGGAGATGGGGGTACGCATGGACCCCCCCCAGGCCCTTCCTCCCTCTCCCCAGAGCAGATGGGATGCAGGCAGTGGGGCAGCCCAGTCCTTGGTTGCTCCTCCCAGCATAGATAGCCATGCAAGTTTGTTGGGTTGAGTCGTAGCATTAGATGAGTGGTGGTGATATTTGGATTTGGGGAGGTACGGCTGGGTGTAGAAAAGCAGGAAGCCCAGCGTGATACAGGCAGGATGTAAAGGCACCTTCCTCCTGCAGATTGTGCGCCTGGACCGCAGCATGGAGCAGATAATCTTCCCAGTGCCTGGCATCTGTGAGTTCCTCACCAAGGAGACCAAGTACCGACTCTTCACCACGACGGAGCAGGACGAGCAGGGCAGCAAAGTCAGTGATTTCTTCGACCAGTCATCCTTCCTCCACAATGAGATGGAATGGCAGAAGAAACTGCGCAGTAAGAGCGAGCCAGACCTTCCCTTTGCAGCAGAGCAGCTGTGAGCTGGGGGGCAGCCGTGCTTTGAGGGGGCTGTGACCCCCCGTGGCAGACTGGAGACCTCCTTGTGCCCTTGGGAGGTGTATTTCCTCCACACCTGTTAGTGTAATTCCTCATAGCCTGAGAGCATCTTCCAACACATTCCACACCTGCAGCTGTGCTCACCTAGAGAGCCCTCTGTTTGTTTTCAATTGGCTTCTCCCAAGCCAGCATCTAGTAGCTACATTTTTGTTGATAAAGGTGCTTTCTTTGCACGATGTGGATCTCCTTAGGTGCTTTCAGGGCTGCACCAGGACGGACTTCCTGGCTTAAAATATCAGCAGCTCAGTCAACAGTAAGAAGGCACACTATAAATACCGTGCTGTGGCTCAGAGGTAGCATGGCAGCACTGAAAACATTTGCAGATCCAGTCAAAACTATCTTAGGAATTCAGCAGGAAACACGTTTCCAGTATGGATGGGAAATTGCTGGCTGTGTCTCCTCTGGGACAGAGAATCAGGTTGCAAACACAAAGGCACTGTTGTTTGGAAAGGCGTGAGGATATAAGATGTGGGAGACAGGGAGGAGGGTGCAGTGATGAGTGAAGCCAATCAGATTCCAAGGTGCCAAGGGAGGTCAAAGGGCCCAGAAAGCACAAAATGTGAGCAGAGACATTTTGAACTTGTGTTCCTGTTACAAGAGATGAGGAGGAAGCTTTTATCAATGGCGTGAAGCGAGGGCCTCACTGGCTCAGTTTGGGTGTCTGGGAGGTCACAGCCGTCCCTGCTGGCACGAGGTTGGCTGAGATGTGTGTCTGCCTCCTCTCCCCGCAGGCATGCCGCTGATGTACTGGTTCTCCCGCAGAATGACTCTCTGGGGAAGCATTTCCTTCAACCTGGCTGTCTTCATCAACATAATCATTGCTTTCTTCTACCCTTATGTTGAAGCCACTTCCATGGGTAAGTGCCCCAGTAGCTTCTGCTCCTTGAAGTAGAGGAAAAAGGGGATCCTGGTGTGCAGGGAGCACTGTCTCTTGTTTGTGTCTCCTTGCCTTTGTCTCCTCTTGACTCCTAAAGCCTTTTCTGTTGGTCCTGGCAAGGGACTGAATCGAGGTTTCAGTTGCCAGCCCTCCCACGACTTCCTTCTTAGGGAACAGGCTCTTCTCCCTGGGCTGTACTTTCCCTATTTGGAAAATGGGGGAAGTAAGGACAGAATACGTACCAGCTGTCTGGAAATCTTAATGATCTACCGTGGTTTTGAGATCTCAGATAAAAGATGTTAGAAAAGCATATCAGCAAGGACCATCTCTCTGCAGTCAAGCACAATTTCTTTCTTCCTTCCCTCAGATAATCAGCATATTGGGTTTCTGGATGCTTTGGACAGTAACATGGTGTCTGATTGGCAACATGCATTTAACCTCATGCCATTTAATTGCTGTGGATCATCTCTTCCCAGGAGTGCTGGATTCCCCATTGATCTCACTGCTCTTCTGGATTCTGATCTGCTTCTCCATCATGGCCCTGTTCACCAAGCGGTACGGTGTCAGACCGCTGCTGGTGGCCCTGATCTTGCGATCAATTTATTACTTGGGGATTGGACTCACACTGAACATCCTGGGAGCTCTCAATGTAAGTTCTCAGAGCGCTGCTAGAAAAACAGCATAGCGTCCGATGGCACAGGAGGCTGTTCTGCACTCACAAAGCACAGCAAACCTCACTCCCTCCCGTTTCTGCTTGCTCTCCAGCTGACCAACAAGATTGTGTTTGTGGTGAGCTTCGTGGGTAACCGTGGGACCTTCATCCGAGGCTACAAGGCCATGATCATGGACGTGGAGTTTCTTTACCACGTTGGCTACATCCTGACGAGCGTCCTGGGGCTCTTTGTGCACGAACTCTTCTACAGCATCCTGGTACAGTAAACATTTGGGGCACAGACACAGCCAGGTTGAGCTGTTAGGAGCTAGAAGTTTCCTGTGACACCTTGATCGATAACAGCAGTGAGAACAATGCCCCATGCTTCAATATTTGCGTAGGCTGATCTTTCTGCCTTCCGACAGCATCTATTACTGTCTCTCTCCCAGCCTTTTGCTATCACTCTTTTTCTAATCTCTGCTGCGTACTTTATCTGGGTCAGCAGGGAGACAACGTGAAGGCAGAGGCAGGGGGCATGCGTCCTATTCTTGGCTCTCCTGCTGAGCTTAAGTTCACTTCATTCTTCTGCAGTAAGATGGAAAACTTGAGTGCTTTATGTGAAAGTTAGTCCATGTCTACTGAGCGATCCTAGATCTCGGGATAAAAGGGACGTAGGTAGGCCAGGCATTGTTACAGAAAAGCACCCTGCAGCATTTCTTTGCTCCTGGGTCCTTTCAGCTGTTTGACTTGATCTACCGCGAGGAGACCTTGTTTAATGTCATCAAGAGCGTGACGCGCAACGGGCGCTCCATCCTGCTGACTGCCCTCCTGGCGCTCATCCTTGTCTACCTCTTCTCCATCGTGGGCTTCTTGTTCCTGAAGGATGACTTCATCCTGGAGGTGGACCGGCTGCCGGATAGCAAAGCCCAAGGTGAGCCAAACCATGGACTGGTGTCCGTGGTGCTTGGGCTGGAGGGGACCAGCAGAGCACGGGTCCTTCGCTGTGGCTGCACTGCTGGGTGCAGTCGTTGATGGGTGGTCACACACTCTTGGGGGAGCTGGTTTTGGGGCCGGCAGAGAAGAGTCTGCCTGCACTGACATAGAGATCTCACGCTGCAGAAAACAAGGCCTGGGGGCTGGAGGGACTGCAGAGAAGGAAGTGGGCAGATAGGAATGAGTTCTGTAGCACTGCAGAAGTCTTACTGAAACTCGAGCAGAAAATGGATGACACTGATGAAACTGTTGCTCTGGATGTTAAAAAAACAAGCAGCTTGTGTGTCAATCATAACACAGGGCTTTGGGGTAGGCTTTTACTCCTCTTTGCATCTGAAGTCTTTTTGGTATGCTTTTACAATCACAGAGATAAGTTAGCATGGAAAAAATATGCTCGGATTATTTGAATAAAGTACAGGTTTTTAATATACTTGGACTACAGTACAGTAGTTTGGAGATTAGAGTCAAAAAATCTGGATGTTTTAAAGAGAGAATACCCTTGAAAAAGCAGCTGGTTGGTGGTTGCATCCAAGACTCTTAACTTCAAAGGATGAGAATATGGTTTTTATGCATCTTAGCCTGGAAAACTGGCAGCTCTTTCTGAACAAAGTTGGGATGTCAGTGCGATGATTACCCAGCCCATGACAGGGCGGTTGGAACTAGATAATCTTTAAGGTCCCTTTCAATCCAAGCCATTCTATGATTCAAAACCTAGAAAAGGCTACGAGAACGGGGATCAAGATTTTTTTTTGAGTTGTTTGAAAGCTGCAATGAGATGCAGGTGAAGAACACTTGTGACAGGAGCAAAGAGCTGATGCTCTGACAAGGCTGTGGGCTCTTTTACTTGCAGATGACCCCTTGGGGATGCATAGGAACATGGAGACCTTCATGGAGTCCTGCAGTGGTGACAAAATTAGCTGCTCCGCTGAGCCCACTGCTTTGCAAGGTAAGTGAGCTCATCAGAAAGGTCAGTGCTGTTAGCAGCAGGGTAGCCTTACGGCCTTGTTTGTCAGCGAGCTCTGAAAAATCCTACAAAGGACTGCAAGAGGGAAGAAATAGCCCACTTTTTGGCACTTGTTAAGCAAAATTCTGCACTCCTTTACGTAAAAATGTTGAAATATTGATTTAATTTAGTTTAATTAAGGAAATCGAGTGCTTTGGGGATGCTCAGCCAAACACCTCCATTGCGAGGAGGAAGATGGAGGAGATGCTGGGGTGCCTGGGAGCTCCCATCTGGGGCACTGCATCACTGCAGCTCATCCTGGAGCTCTGGGTTCTTTGGGACGGGCTGGTTCTTCTGCCCTTCTGCGCTCTGGCTTTGTGCTTTTATTCTTCCCTCTGGTGTTGTAGAAGCAGACACTGACCAGTGGGAACGAGCCTGTGACACACTGCTCATGTGCATTGTCACTGTCCTGAACCACGGCCTGAGGAACGGAGGGGGTGTGGGGGACATTCTGCGCAAGCCATCGAAGGATGTGAGTGGGGTCCCTTCCTTCTGCCACTGCAGAGCTGCCCTTCCTCCCTCAAAATCACTTCCAGCTCTTTCCCCCGCTGCTGTCCTTCAGTGCTTTTGCCCATCGCACCCCCACGCCTCTCCTCACCTTGTACCCTCAGCCTATGGTCCTTGCAGGATGGAGGGGAGGTTTGCAAGACATGTTTTTTCCTTTTGTCCACCTCAGGAGTCCTTGTTTCCTGCTCGGGTTGTCTACGACCTCCTCTTTTTCTTCATTGTCATTATCATCGTCCTGAACCTCATCTTTGGGGTCATTATTGACACCTTTGCTGACCTGAGGAGCGAGAAGCAAAAGAAAGAAGAGATACTGAAGACCACTTGTTTCATATGTGGTGAGTGCAGATCCTTGGCTCTGCGTGTGCAGGAATTGCCCCCACGTTGTTCCTCTCTTTAAGGTCAGCCTGTGACATGAGGGAAGAAGTGAAGCTTCAACCAGTTTTTAGTTTTCATTTGGTTCACAGCACAACTTAAGTCTGTTCACCAGTAGGTCACTACAGTGTGAGGAGGCTTAAACAAGGACACAAACCGAGGGGGGAAATTATCCCTGTTCCTCCTGGCCTTCTGTTAATGAGGTGTTACACTGAATGCTGCATTGTGGTGTTCTTGTCGCCGTGCATCACTCCTGGGACCAGCATTTATCAACTGGAAAAAAAGCATATTGCTAAGGAAATAGAATAGAGGAAAATGTTCCAGAATGCTTTTGGTCATAGGAAGGCATCCAAAAAACCAACCCAACCATAAATATAGCTTCTTTTTTTCTTGTAAGATCCAGTGGGTGCATTGTGTTCTTTTAGATTATATAGGCAGGAAGCATAGCTAGTAGAACTTTAAATAGAAGCCTCCTGAATACACAACTGGGTTATTTTCCCTCTGCTTTGGATTCTTGTAGTGTGCTAAATGCCAACTAATTATTAAAAGCACTTCTTGAAAGTCACACCTGGGACAGGAGGCAATTATCTGTACTTCCTTTCACATTTGTTTGCTTGCTCACTTCTTACCTTTGCCTCCCCTCCTTTTCTCCTTTCTCCACCTTCTCCACACTTGACTGCCTTTCCCAGGACTCGAACGGGACAAGTTTGACAACAAGACAGTGTCCTTTGAGGAGCATATTAAGTACGAGCACAACATGTGGAACTACTTGTACTTCATAGTGCTGGTGCGAGTGAAGAACAAGACAGACTACACAGGTCCGGAGAGCTACGTGGCTCAGATGATAAAGGTAGCGTCCTTTCTGAGCAGCCCTGTTGCACCCTGCCTGCCCCAGAGGGATGTTTGAGAACACTGGGTTTGCCAAAAAAACCCAACGAGTTTTGAGAAGGAACTTTTGGAAAATATTTAAGAAAGTTGCTGTTCCGTAGTTCGTTCTTAGCTGGTTAATTCCCCTGTGCAATCTCAGCCAACGACGTGCTGTTTGATGTTGTGTGCTGTGGATAGAAGGATTGTGCCAGGCAGTATGGACTGTGTGACTGCAAGGTGATTTCGAGGCAAAAAGGGAAGGCAAGGAAATTTAGGAAAAAAACCTTCTGAACCTGGACCCAGACTGGGGGGGAAAAAGGTTAAAAGGGTTGGTGGTGGGAAATGTGCAGAGATGCAGACAAGCCTTTGAGAATTCCTTTAGTCCCTAAGCATAGGCCATGGAAATCAATCCCACCGGGTCTTTTGTCTCCTTCTCACCCTCTCCCATTCTCCATGGTCCCAGAACAAGAACCTAGACTGGTTCCCCCGGATGCGAGCCATGTCTCTGGTCAGCAATGAAGGGGAAGGGGAACAGAACGAGATCCGAAATCTTCAAGACAAACTCAACTCAACGATGAAGCTGGTGTCCCATCTCACCTCCCAGCTGAATGAGCTGAAGGAACAGGTACTAAATGTTATAAAAACAGGAACGCTCCAATTAACACCCCACTGTATCAAAAAACCCTCAGCCCTTACCAGAATAGACACCCATTCCAAGAGCAGGAGGCAGAACCAGCCCACTCCTATTTAACTATGGATACAATTCAGAGGGCTCTTTTAGCTCTTCTGCAGGGAGTTGAGAATACTGGAGTCGTGTGCTTTTTGATACCTCCTCATCAGCTGGAGCCCGGCTCATGGCGTGTTCTGGCAGATGCTTAGAGCAGCCCAGTCAGTCACACACCTGAGAAGCACACTAATGAACAGAATAACAGCCTGGTTTCCTACCTCACTTGTGTCCTTGTTTGAACTCCAGATGACAGAGCAGAGGAAGCGCAGACAAAGGATGGGGTTTGTGGATGTCCAGAATACCATGAACCATTAAGACACAGAAAAAGGATCAGCTTCACCCCCTGAAGGACTAAACACACCTATCAGATGATGAGGCTGCTTATCCCTGGGTCCCACGCATGGACATCACTGTCAGAGAAAGCAGGACCACGTGGAGGGGCTTCCAAGTCAATATTCTCCTTAGATTGCTTGTAAGCAATTCAGGAACCAATGGCTGGCGAGGATTCCTCACGATTCCTGGACCCACATGTTACTCCATGCCCTTAGAGGAAGATAAATTATACAAGACTTTTATTCCTCATTGCAATAACTCTTTATTTTGCAAATGTAGGGGGTTGTATCTTTATCTCCATGTGCTACATCTGGTGGCCTCCACCCAGGTGTAGTGTAACTAGCTGTAGGGCTGCAGTATTTAACTTATTCCAGGAGCATCACTAGTAAACGTGGAACTTTGCAGACCAGCCATCGTATTTGCTGTACCTGCTCCATGCTGCTTCCTGTCCATTTAAAGAATTCTGTTCATCACTTTGGTGCAGTAAAAGAGGAGCTAACCTCAGGAGATGGATTTGATAATTTAGCTCACCAAATGAGGATGAGAATCTAAGGTAGTACTATGAGAACTGGCCTTTTGCCTTCTGTGGACAAAGAATATCTGGGGAGTAGTAGTAGGAAACTGCAGGTTTACAGGAGTTCACTGTGAAGGGGTGTCCTGTGGTTTAGATTCATCTCTGGTGTAATGTTTTACTTTTGTTGTTGTTACTTAAGAACTAAAGTGTAAATTGCCTTAACTAAATTAAAGACAAAATGAAGTTATAATAAAAACTTAAACATGGTAAAGAAACCTCCCTTCCTCTGGGACGCAGGGGGGCTGTTGTGAATAGAAATAAAGAGCAATTCAGATACGTGAACCAATGCAGGGCTGTATTACCAAAGATACCACAGCCCACTGCCAACAACGTTACTGTGAAGAACTACCTGGAACACCAGCCTTGCATTCCGAAGCGTTCGATCAGAGCATCCTGCAAAGTTTCCAATTCTTTCGCTACTTGCCAGGAAAACAGACTTTGAACACATGGAAAGGAGCAGCTGTTCGAGCTGCCTGGAGCCAAGCAGAGTCCTGGCATAGCTGTGTTCTAGACACTCATCATTCTCCAGCCAAGCAGTGCTGCAGCCATCCCAGCTACAATCCTGCGCCTCTGCCTCCCAAGAACAGAGGTTGAGGCAAGCATCAAAGATTTAAAAAGCAATAAAAATAGGCCACAGCGATGGACTAATCACACCTGAAATTAATTTACGGCCCTATAGAGCAACACATCATGACAACCTATCTTCATCCCTCAGATCTGCAGTAACCGACACAGAGCCTTCTCTTCCCGCTGGGGGCAATCTGCATTGTTAGCTGAGCCAGCACCACAGCAATGCAGCACTGCAGACAAGGTGTGCAGCTGAGATCTCATCTGCACTCTTCTTACACTGCTCTGCTGTCACCATGGTAAACAGTCACCTCAGTGCTTTCTTGTGCCTTCCCAGGCTACTTCTCAAAAGCACCACAAACGTGATCATTAAGTTCTCTCTCCCTCCATTTCACTGTTAACAGTGCAAACACAGATAAGCACAGCTACCTGCCATCACTACTGTGTGCTGTCTTCACAAGCAGATGTAAAGCTTACATGGTTGTACCTCCTTGCTGTGCACTTCCTGATGGTCTGTTTCTTATAATACAAATGATCTGGTCTAACAACACAGAGCTTTTTCCTTTCAAACTTTTACACCGATCCCATATGCCTTCATTGCAGATGTGTTACGGTAGGTCCTACATTTCCAAAAAGAAAAGAGCAGACATTACAAATGAAGGGTATAAAGTCTGAACAAAAAAAAAAACCAACGCTGTTGCTAAGAGGAATGAATGGTTTTATTCATCATGGCAACACAGAGCTATAGGAATATATACAGAGGAGAATCTGGGAGTCAGCCTATCACTTCGAGTCCTCTTCAGATTTCTTGGCGTAAAACCTTTCTCGCAATTTTCTCCACGTCCCTTTTTTCATGTCTTCCATCTGTTTCAGAATGTCTGCAAAAGGAGAAGGGGGAGAGAGAGAGATGGGGAAAGAGGAAGAAAGGCAGGAAAGCAAAGGGCTGACGGCCCTCTTATAAGAGCTTTGCCTTACAAACGTTTTCTTTTTTTGACTTTTTGTCTTAATGAATTTCTATTTCAGGGCCTGAGGCAAGTTTGTTTTCCCTTTCAATCAATTGTGCAGGGAGTCCCTTATCTCTAACAACTAATATTCAGTTGCCACGCACCACAGTCAAAGTTAGGAAGTGGAGCAGAACAAAACGGCATTGGCTTCCTGCACCGTGCTTAATAAATGATTTGGCTGAGAGTCTTTCTGCATTGTGGTACCCTGCTTTCTCTGAGTCTAACACGAGATAAGAAGCACTGAAGGGAATTTGAACATGATGAAATGGAAGCCAAGAATTTTTTGAGCCACGTAGCAAATGTGGATTGCTTTCATGCAGCTCCTGCCATTCTGTCTCAAAGAGTCTCACAAACCCTCTGCCATTCCTGCCCACTGCAAAAAACACAATTGACTTTTTGTCCCAATCGATTACTGAGACTCTCCTCAATTATGCCTGAACTTTACACCTTTTTAACCATCCTAATATACCTGCATGGCAGTCCCAATCAGTCCTTTAGTCACAAGTGTTTAGTAGAAGTGATGAAGTGAACACCACAAAGAAAAGAATGTAATTTATCTCCTGCACTGATTTACTCCCAAGTCACAGCATTAGTACCTGTTGCTAGGATCATCTTGCAATCTTGCACTGTCACTCCAGTGAAGCTTGTGTCTTTCAGGCGTGGATACTTCTCAAACAAGCAAGTAGGTGTGAGAAGGAGAGACAGAACAAGGCATTACTTGCAGTGCACAAAAGAGGTAATATGCCACCAAATAACAGAGCCCTACTCATTTTCGGTCAAGAACTAAGAATTGTGTTCATCCATAGCAAAAACCACCATCAGCACTGTTCAGACATGCCATGAAGGCCAGCAGTAAAACCAGGAAGACCAAAGGGACAGGCAGTGCAGCATCCATCTGACTTCTCATTCGCCTGCTGTATGCTCAGAGCCCCTGCTGGGAAGAGGCAATGCACTGCAGCAGGTGGTGACTGGCTCACTAAAGGGCTGGCAATGGCTAACAACAAACCTTACCTTGTTTTTGTAGTAGTTGTTGTGGATTCTGACTAAGCTCTCATACATTTGGTCACAGGTCTCAGGATCAGCAATCTGGAAAGTGACAGAAATATTACACAAGTCTTATTTTAAAACCTGCAGAGCAGAAGATGTCATTTGAGCTGAAAGTCTGCGAGAAGGACAGCAGAAGAGAAGCTTAGCAAGCTCCCAGTGCAATGCTGGATGCTGGTGACCCCTATTATGCTGCTCCTGAAGGCAGAGCATTTTCTTTCTCCTCCACTTCTGGCCAGCTTGGCCTACAAGAATAATGAGGCACGTAAGTTCTAGAAGGGACTTTGAGTTCTGCTCACAAAGATATGGCAGCTCAACTGTGAGTGCACAGTGAATGTGAAGATAGCTGGATGGTTTTCCTCTTGTGCTTATTGGCCAGCACTGTGAAATCTGAGCTTTCTCTGCTCAGAGGCAGGTTTTGCCTCCTGTTTCATTCTAAGGATCAAACAGGATGAGGTACCAGGATGGAAGGTAGAGAAAATCCTGGTGCAGGCTAAAAATAGTTTATAATTGATTAGGGAAAAGCAGCACTGAGCAGCTTGCGTAGGGTAAATGGATTTCTATTTTGGTCCAGTAAGTTGGAAAGATTTTGCTAATACCTAAAACACTCCTCGGTGCATCCGACAGGTGCCTCTGCCTCACAGAGTCTGTTCAGCACCATGTGTGGCAGGTCGTCTTGTTTTTCTAATTTATAGTGGGAACCAACTTGACCAGAACTCTGCACTGCTGGCCAATGACATCAAACGCCAACGATTAAAATGGATACGTGAATAAGAATAGCATCAGCCATAACAAGGCGGGATAAAATGACACAGCTCGTCTGTCCTTGGGGTGCTGGCATGGGTTCAACACAAGAAGGGTAATGCCTCCTCTGCACCAGCTTGGAACCCAGGAAAAGGCTCTCCTGCTACAGCACGCGATGGCTACCGGAGAAGAAGGGATAAAGGCCAGACGGGCTGCCAAGCGCCACCAAACTGCAGGTGATTTTCAGCTTCGCATATTTTACAGCCACTTTTCAAGTGACCCTGCTGATGTTTTCGTAATGACAGCAGAAATAGCCATTAAATAGTACTGCCTGAAAAAAAATATCAGCAAGTCTTCCTTCACCTGAATAAAACAGACATTTGGCTGACAGAGTATCCTGTAAGGCTCGAGCGCTTCTCTCATACATTCCTCCTGCTGACTGCCAGTACATTTCCTTTCGCTGTATTAAGTCTTTATACATACAAATTGACATCACTGCTGCAGGCATCAATTTAGGTTTTCAAGACCGGTGGCAGCTTGGGGATCTTGTGACCAATCGGTGCAGCGCATTCAGCTGTCCTGAGCGTGTGGAAAAGCAATAAGCACTTCCTGCAGTGTCTGCTGCAGATTATCCTGGTGACCAATATGGAATTAGGAGCTTGTAATGGCACACTGCAGTAGAAGGAGCACATCTGGAACAGCGCTTTTATGCTAAGAAAGGGCACATCAGATACGTGAGGGGAAGGTTCTGTTTAACTGACTTCATTTCCTTTTATGACAAGGTCACCCATCCAGTTGAGGAAGGAAAGCCAGCTGATGCTGTCTTTTTGGATTTTGGTAAAGCTTTTGATACTGTTTCTCACAATATCCTTCTGGACAAAATGTCCAGCATAAAGCTAAACAAGAACAACCTACGGTGGGTGAGCATTTGGCTGATGGGTCGGGCCCAAAGGGGACAGATCAGGCTGGTTGGTCACTGGCACTCCCCCAGGGCTCCATTTTTAGGCTAGTTCTCTTCAGTGCCTTCATAAATGATTTGGATGTAGGACTAGAAGGTATTTTGAATAAGTTTGCTGATGATACTGAGCTGGGAGGAGCTGATGACACAGCTGAAGATGACTTCCAGAGAGATTCAGGCAAATTAGTGAGGTGGGCAATCAAAAACCAAATGAAGTTCACCGAGAGCAAGTGCTGGATTCTGCACCTGGGAAGAGACAACCCTGGCTGTACATACACAGGGGGGATGAGACTCTGGAGAGCAGCCCTACTGAAAGGGACATGGGAGTCTTGGTTGAAAGCAGGTTAAATGTGAGCCAGAAGTGTGGCCAGATGGTCAGGAAGGTCAACTCTACCCTGGGTGCACTGAGCAGAGCACTGCTAGCTGGTTGAGGGAAGGGACTGCCCCACCATGCACTGCATCAATACGGCCTCACCTTGAGCACTGAGGGCTGTCGTGTGCTCCACAGTACAAAAAAAGACATAAAGCTACTAGAGAGCGTTCAAAGGAGGTCTACAAAAGGTGAAGGGTCTGGAAGGAAAGATGTATAAGGAGCAGCTGAGGTCCCCTGGGTTAGCCAACAGATGAGCTGAGGGGGGGAGGCCTCACAGCCCTGCAGCTCCTCAGAGAGAGCAGATGGACAGTGCTGAGCTCTGCTGATCGACCACAGAACGTGAGGGAACGGCTTGGAGCTGTGATGGGGGAGGTCAGGGGGTGTGAGGTGAAGGTTTTGCACCAGAGGGTGGTGGGCATGGCACAGGTTCCCCAGGGCAGTGTTCATGGTTCTGAGCCTGCCAGAGCTCAAGTAGCATCTGGACAACGTGCACATGCCCTGATTTTTGGGTGGATCTGGACTTGATGTTATGAGCATGGACTGAGAGAGCTGAGGCTGTTCAGCGTGGAGGAGAGATGGCTTTGTGGGAGATGTGATAACAGCCTTTCAGAAATTAAAGCAGGGCTGTAAGAATGGGACAGACTCTTTAGCAGACAGTGATGATAAGACAAGGGAAAATGACTTCAAACTCAAAGAGGGGAGATTTAGAGTGGATACAAAGAAAAAGTCTTTTACAATGAATGACGGTGGTGAAGCACTGGCACAGATTGCCCAGAGAGGTGGTGGAAGCCCATCCCTGGAGACATTCATCATCAGGATGGACATGGCAAACAGCAGCCTGATCAAGCTGTAGATGCCCCTGTTCAGTGTAAGGTGACAGAATGGCCCAGGTTGGAAGGGACCTCAAGGATCACGAAGCTCCAACCCCTGCCACAGGCAGGGCCACCAACCTCCCCATTTCATACCAGCCCAGGCTGCCCAGGGCCCCATCCAACCCGGCCTTGAACACCTCCAGGGATGGACGGGGCATCCACAGCCTCTGGGCAGCTGTTCCAGCACCTCACCACTCTCTTAGGAAAGAACTTCCCCCTGACATCCAACCTCAATCTTCCCTCCCAACTTCAAACCATTTCCCCTTGTCCTGCTGTTATCTCCCCTTCCCAAGAGTTGATTCCCCTCCTGTCTGTAGGCTCCCTTTAGGTACTGCAGGCTGCAATGAGGTCACCCCGCAGCCTTCTTTTCTCCAGGCTGAACAAGCCCAGCTCCCTCAGCCTGTCTTTTTGGGGAGGTGCTGCAGCCCCCTGATCATCTCTGTGGCTCCTCTGGACCCCCTCGAACAGCCCTCTGTCCTTCTGGTACTGGGGGCTCCAGACCTGGACGCAGCACTGCAGATGGAGCCTCACAAGAGCAGTGCCCATTAAAGGCCCTTTCCATCACTAAGGACTCTATGATTCCTCCCGGTTCCCTTCCAGCTCAGGATGCCCCACGATCCTGCCGTTCCCCCCACCACCTCCCACGCTGTAAAGCACTGCAGCCGCACATTTCATTCCCATTCATTTCAGTTTCAATTCTGCACCACGCCCCGCCCCGCCCCCACCGCTAGGAGCGCCACAATGCGCATGCGCGGTCCCGCCCTTCTGCTCCCCCCCTTCCAGTTCCCGCTTAGGCCTTCGCCGCCCTCCCGCTGCATCTCCCCGCTCTCACCTGCGTGTTCTCCCCCTCGCGGAAGGCTTGAGCCACGCGTTGCCGAATGAAGACGCCCAAATCGCGCTGCCGCTTCGTCTCCTCCACCGGCCACTCCTCGCAGAGCCGCAGGAAGCGCCGGTACCTGGTGGCTGCCATGACGGTCACGTGACCGGGGCGGAGGGGCGGAGCCGTGCATGCGCAGTGCCGCGCAGCGTGGTTCGTTAGCGGGTGTTGTGCGGCTCAGCGGTGTCTCTCCGTGTGCGACGTTGGGCCGGCAAAGGTGCCTCGCTGCTGGGCTGCGCGGAGCCCGTTGGCCAGCAGCGTGGCGTGAGATAGCTGCTTTGGTGCTTGGTTTTGTAGGAATGGAATGGAATGGAATGTTGTTTCTGCGTTAGATATAAAAAAAAAAGGGGGGGAGATTGATCTGAAGTAGAGCACAGTGTGTTTTTGTTTTGTAACTTGTCCTTAGAAATGTGGTGTGAAAAGGTAGAAATACCATCTATGTTGGTAACATGCTTTAGGAATACAGCTGCTGAATCACGTGATCAATTCTTGCTTGCAAAATGCAGTAGTTTTTAAATGTTGCAAATAGTGTAGGTATAGTGTGATGGACTAGAGAGCATGTTGTAGGGCTGTTCTGTTTGGATAAGAGACCCTCAGCAAAAGAAAAACAGACTTAGCAAACATCAAAGCAGGCAGGGCTGCACACTGGCTGGCTTGCCTTGCTCTGGGCAGGTTGGGGTGCAGCAGGCAGGCATCAAGGCCCTCTGTCCTCCTTCCAAGCTTATCTGTATGCAAGGACGAGCAGATGTGCAGAAAGAGGACCGAGTGTTGAGTGAGCAAATGTGAGAAGTTACTAATTAGCAATACATGCTCAGCTGCAACAACTGATGTTTAGCCAGTATTTGTGTGTTCAGTTGAGCATCAGGAAGACTGCGATCCTGAAGCACTCGGCCAATGAGGAACCAGGGGAGAAGGAGATAAGCGTCGAGTAATAGGGCATAAAAGATGGAATGCTGTTTTCTGGGTGCTCTCCTGCCTGCAGGAGGCCCGCCACTGCAATTGTGAATAAAACCTGCTTTATCAGAGATACCGTCCTGATACATTATTTGGGTATTTCCAACAGTTTCTGCCTGCTTCACAACCTAGGGAGACCTGGCTGGTGTTCATAGAGCTATGGGATGGTTGGAGTTAGGGTTGGGAGGGAAGGGACCTTTTAGGTCACCTCATTCCATTCCTTGTTATAGGCAGGGACATTTTCCTCTTACTCAGGCTGCTCATAGCCTAACCCAGCCTGGCCCTGAGTGACCCACAGGCTCACTGGGCAGTGTGTGCTGTGCCCCACCACCTCACAGTAAGGAATTCCTTTTTCTGCCATCTCCACGGAGCACATGACGTTATGCTCACAGTGGTTAAATACTCAGTAACTGTGCTGGTATGTAAGGGAGGAAAAAGGGAGCAGGGTGATGCCTGTGCAAGCAGCTGGGATGCCTCCATTTCTGCAGGAGAAATGAGGGATGGCTGGGGATCACACATAGCCCAGCTGCTGGCACCTTGCTTAGAGCCTTCCTCATCCTTCCCTGCTTGCAGATCCCACGTCCTGCCCTCCAGAGGCTCAGCAGCAGTGTAAGGGCTGAGGTAGGTCTGCATGAGCACAAAAGCTGTGAGGTGTGGGCCACAATCAGCACTGACCACAGCATGTGAGTGTGAGCCAAGGCAGTGGGTGATGCAGGCTTTTCACTGCTGAAGCAATGTTTGTGGCTTTTTTAATAGTCAGCAGTGCTTGTGGGCAAGAAATATGCAATACCATGAACAATATTCAGTAAATAATGAGATATTCCCAGATGCACTTCAGGCCAAGTAAAATATGCAGCTGGGCCAGATGACTTAAATTTTCCAGCTATAAATTGCAGCAATTCTCCAGCTGTATGCAGTAAAATACAAGTGAAGGGCTCTGCCTTCAGATCTGGTATTTAAACTTGTGGGAATAATGGCTCTTTTGAAAACATGCAGCCCTAAAGAAAAGATAGCATGATTTGAGGATGCTCTGGGAGTGAAAACGAGATGGACAACAGGTGAGAGTTGCTTAGACAACTTTATTTGTATTCCCACTCCCCAGTAACTGGGTTCTGTACCCCTGTTCCTTGTGTAAGGACTTCCCCTTCAAGCTTCCCACACCATGCAGGAAGGAATTATGTTTGTTCCATAACAAAGTCTGTCAACAAAAGCTGTAAACATTGAATCAGGTTTTTTTTTGTTACCGTTTCCTCCAAACACACACATTATATTGGTACCAAAGAATTTTTAGGTAACCTTTAATATCCCGTCCCTGACATTTTTCTTTCTTGAATTCGAAGCATAAATACCTTGATGTGAATGACTTTTTGACTACTGACAGAATCATCAGCCCCTCAGGAGCTTCTTGCTGAGAAAGTTCTGGAAACATGCTCTGTTATGACCCACAGGGGGTATTAAACCCTTTGCAGGGTCCACTTTTGGTCGGAGATCTGCCTGCTTGTACACCTTCAGCAGGACAGAACCAGGAGCTCTGCAGCATCTGGCATATCTGTGCTTTAAGAAAGCACCGTGCACCTGCGCTGTGTGGAGAAGTGCTTTGCAAGAGCAGCTCTGTGCAGGTGGAGCGTGAATGTCAGGGTGTGCATTTTTCTTCCCCTTCTGTCTTTGTGTTCAGCCCATAGCGCTGAGCATGAGTTGAAAGTAATGCTGCCATCTGTTAAGACCTGCCAGCTCATTTTAATAGTCTCACTTAAATGCACAATATCTTCTCAGCTCGCTCGGCTTTGTGAGCGTGGTGGAGGTGAGCAGGTCCTATTTTATCATTAAGACTCTTTCAAGTAATGCTTTCTTTTGGCTTACAAATAAATCAAGGACAGCAGTAAAACAAGAAAGGAAAATAAATCTTCTGATTGATTGCAGACAGAACAGATTCTTTCAGCTCTTTGCTTTTTACGGTTGAGTTCAGTAATGGCACGTAGCAGTTTTTGCACTTTCCTAGCAAGCTGTCCGTGCTCTCATTCCAAACCATGCACGTGACATTCTGCAGCTGGGAGGATCCTATGGACCCAGTGCGGTGCTTCTCAGGGCCAACTCACAGGATGTGTCATTTTCCTTCTGAAATGTTCTGCAGGATTTTGATGAGGTTCTCTAAACCGAAAATATAGCCGTGGTCCGGCCCGTCGTAAGTGGTGTGGTTGCATTTGGAGCCTTTAAAAGTGGTGTGGGCAAAGTCTATCATGCGGACGTCGACTCTGGAGTGCGACGTGATGCAGTTTGTTTTTTGGAAGTGCCCCTGCAGGTGATTATCCAGAGGCGCCGTGCTCTCCTTGTGCTCCAGTCCATCGTAAATGATGAGAAGTGAGCTGGAGTAGAACCTGTAAGAGCTCTGCTTCTTAATGACGGAGAGCAGAGCTCTCAGCTTCTGGATGAGGGGCTCCAGGACGTCCGTTCTGAGATGGTTTCCATTGCACAGGAACTGCTGCAGGGTTTGCCTGAATCCCTCGGGTGAGAGTTTCCTTCCATAGTATTTATCCTTGCAGAGAAAATGGCCAGCATCCGCTTGGTAAACCTTGGGGAAAGAGAGCAACAATGCAGATTCAGTGGCTGCCTTGCTGTTCAGTTTTTTCACATGCTCTGGATTTCATCCTAATTTAAACATTTGGGACCCAGGCTGAGAAATGGGGCACGGATCCCCTGCGATGGAGCAATGCTGGCAGCGCACTGCAGGCTCCTTCCTTACTGTATCCCACCCCCTGTCTTTTCTGGAGATTTAAACTATTCAATTTAAGCCACTGGTGCAGATTCTTTTTGCATTCCAATAAATTACTCCTCTGTGAAACCTGTAGAGCTGTAAGTCATTGCCATGTCATTACTGATTTATGGCATTTTCCCTCTGGCTACGTTAGGAGCCTGCAGTAGTACAGCAGTGCCCCAGCCGTGTTCCTGCTCTCAGTACAAGCAGCAATAATGCTGTTCTCTTAAACAGAGAGACAAGAAGATGTAGACAGAAATTTGTATGTGTGTGAGGCATTGGTAATCCTGAGTAAGAACTGGAAGAGTGAATTCAGAATTAGCTCACACACCAGTTGTATTTTAAAGGATAATCTGCTCAACAGAAGGATGGCAGAGACCAGGAAGGGACACAGCATTCGACGCTGTTTACATTGCTGTGCATGTTCTTTGTAATCATCGTTGTCATAATTATCCTTCAGGCGCAGCAGAACATTGTGAAACCCGTTTGAAAACTGTTGAATGGAAAAAATGTGTGGTTTCAGTTTCTGGTTTCAGTTTCTGGGAGGGAGGGCAGCGATTTTAATCGAGAGGAACCATAATATTTAGCAGGAAAGAAACCCTTCCTTCTTGCAGCAATAGGATGAGGCAGCTCAGTGAAGGCATGTGCAGGGCAAGGGATGCCTGCTGCTTTTCCTCGTGTCATGAGCTGAGCACACAATAGCAGATGCTGCTGCTGTGTACAAGCTGATCCTCAGCTGCTCCTACAGACAACCACCACCTGTGTAAGTAATCCCATCTCCAGAAGTCAAACAGAGCACGGGGAAAGGTTTGCCCTCCCTGTGCCGTATCCTATGCTGTCCCTGAAGCATCCTGTTTAAGGATGGGATGCACAACCACGTGGGTAGCTCTTGCACTCTGTGTTTGTTGGCAGAAACCAATGAAACGAGTTCAATTTACACCAACAAAGGGGAGAATCCCTTCAGATCTGCAGCGGGGTTTCGAGCTGTGCGTTGGGCGAACAGCCGGAGGAGCAGGGCTGCCCTCACCTGCATCCCACAGATGCGGACGCCCAGCGATGCAGAGGTGCTCTGTTCACACTTCTTGATGTGCCGTGCTTTCTTCTCCTCTGAGGCGTCGTCCCCATGCTGCCGGGTTCCCATCTTTAAGTCCAGGATGCAGGGGTAGCTGTATTTCGACACCACATTTTCAAGCAATAGAAACTCTAAACATGAGTTAAGGGAAACCCAATACTTTTAAATTCTAATTGAAAGAGGTCTTAAATCAGAGCAACTGCTGACGCTCTCCATAATAGCTCACAACTGTAATGAGACTTTCTGAGCCAATTTTACCAACATGTCATTGCTATGGGCCCCTTGCTGCCGATTGCAGTTAATTTACTGTAGTACAGTCCTACCAATTAAAGCAGCAACAGCTCCATTCTCCAGTGACACCGCAGCCCCGGGCTGTCGATCCAGCGCCTCTCCTCAGCACTGCACTTACTCCAATGGGTGTGGGGGAAGTTGTTGAACTATTACTCACATGACTGGTGGGTAATGAAGTGTAATAGGAAAATAAAAGGCGAGGCAGCTGCTAATTCCCATATAGTGGGATATAGGGGATCTTTGACTTAAGCTTGGATGCTCTCTTATGGGAAATGCTTTTTTTTCCCCTTCTTATTCAGACAGTGGGAAAGAGGGGTGCATGCTGCTGCAATAAACCAGACCTCGATTATGAGCTCTTATCTGCAGCCAAAGCAATGCTGGAGGAGAGGGGGGAAAAAGGATACGATGCAGTTTGTTCTCGTTATACTTGGAGGACATGCGGTTCAGGTGCTGTCTGTGACAGTGCAGTCCCCAGGGGTTGGAGCTGTTTTTTTCTGTCTGGTTTCTGTTTGCATCTTCCAAAAGTGAATCTGTGCAGTACTGAAGGTCTGTCCTCAGTCGCATCCTGCCCGGGCAGCTAGGCAGAACACACAAAGGAATGTATTTGGTTTATGAGCCCCAGAAGAGAATAGTCCCTCTCTTCCCCCTCCTCCCTTTTGTAGAACCTCAAATTTGACGAGGTAAATTTTCTGGGGCTCTCAGAGGGAACTTATTCATCATGTCCAACCTGCGGAGATCTTTTGTTACTCCGCAAAAGTAATTTTCGGAAAGGCAGCTATTGCTGGATGCCAATATTTTCTTTCATTATAATTTCAAAGTGTGCTTGGCTCCTATGAAAAGCACCATTCATAGCATCAGTGCCCAGGGATCTCTATCTACCGACCAGGCACAACACAGGCAATTGTCCAACAATGGGAATGCTTCCCAGTTTGGAGGGGCTAGCTTTGGGGAAGGAAGGGGGGGAGCAAGCAGGATATTTGCTCTCCTTGCAGGGTCATCTGTCGGCCTTGCCCATCCACAATCCCTAAGTGCTCACACTGGGGGCTGTGCTTTCACGGGAGCAATATTGCACCCTTCAGTCACAGCTGACCTAAGCTTTTTCTGAACCAATCTGAGATGAAAGATGTCTGCTGGAAAGCCTCCGCAAGGCCTGAGGTTGGGCTGTGCTTGCAAGCACTGCGATGCCCATCAGAGCCAGCCAGGGATGGGGACAGGATGGAATCCCCCTCGATGTGCAGTTGTGTGGCTGAGCTCTGCCTGCTTGGCAGCAATGGGGCCACTGTGCTCAGCATCTCACCTCATGGGGCCTCCTCTCATTTTGGAGCTTGCTGGGTTTGGAGGCAGCAGCTTTAAAGCAGAGTTTGAAACATAAATTTGAGCGACAGCATCTCAGCCATAGCTGAATCTTCTCTGCTCTACCCATAGGGGGGAGGTGAGCCATGAGGCCAACGTGCTGGATGCAACTTTTTGCTCTCCGAGGCTGGACTTTGCTTTAAACCAGTTGTGCCACCAAACCACTCCTGCTCACACCCCACCGGGACCGGGACGGTTCCAGGCGAGGACTGGGAGAACATCAGCAGGGAGCATCCTGCCCTCGGCACACCCTCACCTGTCCTTGAAGGTCTTGGTGAGCTGCGTGTGGCACCTCTTGACGAGCTCGGTGCCACTGCTGGCGCTGGCAGCCCACTTGTATTTGTGCCATATGTCACTGCTGGTGTTGTCCAGGCGGCCGCAGCCCTCGGGCTGCAGGTTGGGGCTGGCGAGCAGGGTCAGGTTGCCAAAGCTGTCCTTCTTGAGGTGCACTGAAATGACTCCTGAAGGGAAGGAGGCAAAGCAAACCGGAACGGGGTTAACCCTGTGACACCGTGGGTGCTATGAGTCCTCCTGGGCTCAGCTGTTGCCTCGTACTTTAGTGGCCTCACGCTGAGCCCAGGCTGATTTGAGACCCAATAAACACTATCAGTCTGAGGCTCTGGAAAACAGCCATGAGCTTTTCTAATGTTCCCTCCCCTCTTTCTGTGAAACCTGCCTGCTCTGAACACTGTGTTCCTTCATTCTCCATTCCTTCAGGCTCCGTTATGCAGCAGCTGACCCAGCACAGACCCCCTGCCTTGGATCAGGAGCTCCTGCCTTATTTATGACGAGGGATTTAAGTTGCACTTTTGAGCACAGGGCAAGGTTGGAAATGCTTTGCATTAGTAGAAAGCAAAGGGAGAGTTGGGGAACAGGAATTTTACAAAGACAACCAGCATGCCAACTACTTCATTTAATGGCAGAGCCCACAGGAGCAAGAGCAGAGGTATGCGTGTGGGCTGGCAAAGCTGCAAATGAAGGTGATGCCATATGTTGTCATGGATGCATCCTTCCCCCAGCACCGGATGATGGCAGGGACTGGACCCGCACGTGGAAGAACATGACCAAGACTGGTGATTATTAATTTCCACTCTCCGTGCTCGAAAACGCCATTGTGTATTTTTTCCCTGACTCTAATGAGGATCACAGGGCACAAATGCCACTCAGCCCATCACGTATTTAGCCCATCTCGGCCCATCCCTGGCATCAGGAGCGCTGCCTCCGCGTGTCAAATGACAGCACAGGAATGGCCGTGCCTGGCGCAACAGACGGCTCTGACCTTTCTGGGAAAGGCTGATAACAGCAGTCCTTTGCTCGGGGCAGTGCTGCTCCTGCAGCCTGTCAGGGCTGTCTGAGCCTCTCAAGGCAGTGCAGGCACTTTTAGAACATCGCCCTTTTGCTCGCAGAGGGGATGCAGCCACGTGAATCATTCCGCCCCAATGCTTTCAGGTCTGGCTGCAGCAAGGCAGATCCAGACAGGACGGTCAGGGATGTTGGACCAACAGAACTCAGCGCTGGAAAGAGGCCCCGTTCGCAGCGCATGGAGCTGGGTTGGGTCCAGCTGTCCCCAGGGTTTCCTCGTGCAGTCTGTTAGTCATTGCGGGGAAATGCGTCTCTGCAGCTTACAAACAAGGCAGCTCTCTTTGCCCGAGCCAATTTGCCAAAGCAAATAAATACACAAACTGCCTTCTCTCCGTTTGAAGCGAGATTACAGTGAGCAAACACAGATGGGAGGATTTGCAGGGCCATGGCTGCTGGGTTTTGCTGACTGAGGGAAGATTTCCTTCCATGAGATTTGGGGCGCCCATTCCTTCCCCGGTCCCACACCTCACAGACCTGCAGGTCCCTCTGCCCCACAGCCCACATGCAGCCCACAGCCATTCCTTTCCCTCACTGTAAAAATCAGCATCACTCCAACTGGCGTGCCATAGAGGTTGGGTCAGATCTGAGCTGAAATGAGTGAGGAATACACGCAGGCTGCTCTGCCCGTGAGCTATAGGGCTGGAAAGCTTAATTAGAGGGTGAGTAATGTTTTCAGCTCTCTCGGTCCTTTGCTCGCAGTTATCACGAGTTCAGGAGCTGTGCTCCCAAACCCCAGCATCACCCACATGGTCCCTAGCAGCGCCCCGCTCATAGGAATCCGTATTACAGATTACAAGAGCAAGCAGAAGTCCTGCCCGCTCCAGTGTTTGCTTTGGGATTTCAGGGGAGGTGGACATGAAGAAAAGAAATATATTTTTTGCCTGAATAAAAGCAAACGGAGCCCTCAATTCCAAGCACAGCACTGTGCACTACAGCAGTGTGTAACCTTAAAATCTGCCCCAGTTCCATGCCTGCAAGTCAACAGAGCTGTGCTCATTTACGCAGTGCTGACAGTCTGGCCCTAAAAACGTTCTATACAGCATGAAACAAGTTCTTAAATACCTCACATTAATATGAAAATTAATGGAGATGTTGTCAAAGGCAAGGGAATGCGATCACCTCCTTCCACCTGGGAACTGCCTTTGTAAACCCACATCTCTGCCTTAAAATGACCTTTGTTTCCCCATGTGCTTCCTTAAGGGGTGAGCAGTTTTGCATATGAGCACTCAACACTTTCTCTTCTGTTGCAAGGAGAAAACACCTATCTGGGAGCAAAGATGTCCGTAGGTCCTTGGCTTGCATTGTCACCCACAGTGCAATCCCATTGGGTTGGAAGGGGTCAAGGGCAGCTCGGGTGTGAGGTTTGAATGGTGACATTTGATCAACGCCGTGCGTCACATCAGCAGCACACAATGAGCCCTGAGCAATCCCCCAGCCTAAGAATAGAGGTGAGGAGTGTGGATGCCTATGGGTGGGGGTGGAGACCTCGGGATTGTTCCCTCTAATGCTCATCACCCCCATGGGAAAATGTTGGCCCTTGGCAGACATTCCACGTCTTTAATGTGCCGGGCTGGGACAGCTGGAAGCAGGGAACAAAGTGTGTCTCCCTGATGCCAAATTGGAGGAGAATTGGTGTTTAATTACCCCTATTGTGCTGGGACTTGCAATAGAAAGAGAGGATAAAAAGGTATTAATAAGCTCTGAACTGATAAGCTGGGATTGCTTAATGTCTTTATAACAGGAACGGAGCAGGACTCAGCTCTCTGGCACTGAACCCCAGCACCTGCTATAGGAAATCGCTCAGAGGAAGCCTGGTTTTCTTTCTTAAGCATCTTTTTAATATTGCCCCATAAATCTACGGAGGCCCCTGACTTGGTGGGAAGGGAGAGATTGGATGGGAGACCTCAGCTGACACTCGAAGCTCCTTTCTGTACTGCTGAAGGACCAAGAGATATTTTAAGCTTTTATGTGACACCTGAGCTTCTCGACTCTCACCAAACCCAGGGTCAGGAGCAGCAATAAGGAGGGAGGAAGGAAGGGGGGGCATCTTAAAAGAAAAAGAATTAGGAGGATTGCGCTTGGACCCTCTTGCACTGCACTTGCATCAAGCGCTGCATTTCAGCAGCTAAATCTGAGACACACGGACTTGAGTTTTGTCTCTGCTTTTCCAGGATCAGTGCTTCCAGGAGCACCACAAGCAGCACCTGGTGGAGCAGCCGTCAAAGAGATGCTCCGTCCCCCCGGGCTATTTTTGCCTTGGTATGTCACCCCGGCTCAGAGGAGCTGCTCTATCCCGGCTGTGAGCCCTGCCCTTCCCTTGCTCTCCTCCTTTCTGACGCAAACCTTCACCTCCCCTAACACCAAAGGCCACGGGGCACAGGCACCCCTGAGCCCTGCTCCAGCTGCCGGCCCTTCCTTCTCACACGCCGCGATTTCAGAGCAGCTCTGCTCTGTGCTGTGTGGTCCCAAGTGCACGGGCAGCTCCTGAGCTGGAACCCACAGCATCTCCTTAGGAAAAGGTCATCACAGTGCTGAGCGGGAGCAGGCTTCCTAATTGGGGTTAATGGAATGTGAACGGCATGGAAAAAGAGGTCTATTTGAGGGCTAGCACCCACAAAGGAATGAAAGGTATCCCGCACATGCAGCCTGCTTTGACTCGCCATAACAGAAATAGGCAGCACGTCTGCCTGGCTGCAGCCCTTGGAGTTGGCACAGCAGCACGGGGCAGTTTGGCGTTGGCCACGCTCTGTGTCGTTGCTTTTCAGCCTTCCCAAACCCGTGGCATCATCCAGCAAGGTCCCCAAAGCAAGCCCTGGTGGAGGAGGCAGCCACTGTGCGCCCTGCCAGCAGCCTCGCCAAGCACAACCTGCTCTGCTCTCCTCGAGGAGCTCCCAGCTCAGACCCAGCCCAACCAAACTGTTCCCCACCGTACCTTTGTACTGAGGGGTGAACTGCCTCATGGCCAGGGGCAGCGACTCGTAGAAGCTCAGCTCCTGTGAGACCAGGGGTTTGCAGACCGTGTGCTCGTCGTACTTCATCATGCTCATGTGGCCGCCCACCTGGTGCACGAAGGGCTCCAGGAGCACTGCCCTCCTGCCCTCGCTCTGCCCCACCATGCTGCTCGGCCAAGGCTGTGGGTCAGCAGCGTGGGGAGGTCGCAGTGTGGGTCATTCCGTGCCCCTGCAGCTCCTTGACGTGGTGTCTGCAAGCAGAGGATATGGGAGAGTGTGAAGGCAGGGGTGGGGGGATGGACCACTGCAAAGCCACCGCCTGCAGTGGGCTGGGAGCAGCCTGGCCTCGTGTACAACACGGTGCTGGCGGGGAGCCCTGGTGTGACATGTCCCCAAAAGCCCCGATTTAGACCCGTTGGGGGCAAAGGAAACAGAAGGGGATGACTGAGAAGAGCTATCAAATTAACGCAGCAGCCTTGTGAAACCAGCTTGGATCAGGGCGTTCCTTGGGCCAGCAATGCTGGGGTATTAATATGCTGTATTAATAACAGCCCTGCTGTGAAACAGCCTCAGTTTGCCTGATGAGACAGTGCTAATGATGGTCTTAGCCTTTCCCCAAGCCAGAACATTCCCTGTGAATGAGGTTTCTAAATAAAGCCTCTGCAAAACCCCCGTCCTTGCACAGCTCCCCACCTCTCGACGCTACCAAAGGGGGCAGCAACATTCTCTACACCTTCGAGAGCACCATCCGGAGGGGATGTTCCCAACCAATTAACACCGTTGCACTGGGAATGCTTCCTGCACAAGCATGGTGTGAGGATGCATCACAGCAGCACCCACAGCTCCCATCTGAACACATGGATTTGGGTCCCAATTCCATGCCCAGGGAGGAATCCTCCCATGGCTGTGGCAGGAGAAAGGAGCTGGTATAAGGGGGGGAGAAGTAAGATGGGAAAGGCACAGAAGCAGAGCAGCAGCACCTCAGCTTTGCTTTGCACCCAGCAAACCCTCTCCCCTCCTTGCTTTACTCTTTGCAAGGGGCTGAGGATGCTCTTGCTCTGCAGAGGACTCCTGTAGCCACTGAGACAGACAGAAAGATGGCAGAGCTAACATTTGTGAGGGTTCCATGCCATCAATGTTCTAAAATCAGAATAAGACATTCCAGATCCCAAAATGTAACTGCTGGGGAAAAAAAAAAGACTGTGCATTATCCTTCCTTTGAGGGCAGCTCAGCGTTCCTGCAGCCCTCCCAAGGCAGAGTGCTGACATGGGAGGCTTTCCCCCCACTCCTTCAGCCTGGGGAGCTTGGCATCCTGTTTGTGCTTGAAGGAACCCTGTGCAGTAAATGTGACACCTCTGAAGGTTTGTTTCCATGCACCAGAGCTCACAGGGCTGTCCGTGAGTATCACCACCTTCCATAGCCAAGTTCAGTAGCTAACAGACAGCAAAGGTTCTGCACCTGGAGGAGTTGGATGCAGTGGGCTGGTGGCACAAGGGGAGAAGGAACGCTCCTCCCTGCACAGCTCACTCCTTCAACACCCCCCGAGGTGGTTTTTCACCCTCTCTTCTCTATTCTTTCATCACTGCACACCTCAGAGTGGAATCTCTGCTCTACAATTAGCAGCACCAGCTCAGGGAACAAAGCCGACCCGCTCAGATGAATGCTTTGCAGCCCAGGAAGAAAGCAGCACTTCATAGACTTTCTAGAAGTAAATAAAAGCATTTAGCGCTGCGTTCAGTTGAAGCAGCTTTTAAGGAGGATTCTCCCTTCAAAGATGAAGGTTTGCTGGATTTTTGTTGTTGTTGTTGAGAAAAGCAGAAAGCAAGCAGCTCGCTCCTTGCAGACCTCAAGCTCCTCTGAAATGGGACACTGGGAGTAGCTCCCATCTACAGCTCGAGTGGTCGTGAATGCCAACAGATATCCACAGCCCTAAAAATATACTGAATTGCAGATTAATCTGTGTCCCTGACAATAAAACCCAAAACCCTGGGTGATTTTGTCCTCTAGCAAAAGCGAGACAGCCGCGCAGGCGCTGTGGGTGGAGATGGGGCTGAATATTTGGGGGTCTGCAGTGCTCACTGGGCAGAGCTCCTGGGGACACAGCATGTCAGGCTCTGTTCTGGGGCCTGGTATCAGAAGGCGCCGTGCAAAGAACTCTGTTTACAGCACAGCTTTAATGCAGCCCGATGGAACCAAGCAGACGGCGTTCTCCAAGCGCCTGCCCCATCCCACCCTACTCACAACGGGGTGAAGCACAGCCTGGTCCTGGGAGCAGCTCTGCCCCAGGGTCCCATTGCCAGAAAGGCTTTGGAATATTAAAAAAGAAGAAAATCAACATGAAAACAAGTGCCCATCAGCACAGCCCCAGCTCAGTGCCGGCACTCCGGGGCACCTCGAGGCGCTGTGCTGCACAGTCAGGCTCTGTGCACTGCACGGTGCTGCTGGGTTGGGTTGATGGTTTTTATTTTGTTTTATTTTGCTTTAATTAAAAGGCAAGAAATGGACTTGGCTGTTAATTTGTGGAGATCCTCATGCCTGCAGCTCTCAGGTTGACCGGGATTCCTGGCCAGCTCCTGCACCCAACACCAGCACAGCCTGCAGGAGTGCTTTGCGGAGCCCAGTTACCCCATTTCTGCCCAGTTTCTGGCCTTGTGCCTCTGAGCACCTCGAAGCATTGGCCACAAGGAACATCCGAGTTCTCCCAGCTCTGTGCGTTCCCAAACAGGGCTCACAGCAATGGGCTCCTCAACCACAGCCAAAGTCAGCACTGTGCCGGCAGCGAAATGTTCGGCTCTTGGCATGAAACCCAGCTCTAAGCACCCCATAAATCCTGATGTGCAGAAACCCTGAGCTCTTTTATCTTGTATTTCCTTCCTTGAAAGAAAATGACTTTCATAAACTTTACGGCCAGTCCCTGTGTCCCTCATGAATAAGATGCAAAGATGCAGTTTGCTGCACCAAAGGATTTATTTGGCGGCTCTGCCAAGCGCAGGGTCATGGGTAGAGGGGATGAGAGCAGAATTATCCTGGATGGAATGGCTGCAAAAGCACCCAACCCCAAGCTGGGATCTGGGCGTGGGGATGCACAGTGCCCCATGGTCTGCAGCACCCACTGTACCCACTGTACCGACAAGTGGGCAGAGGGATGGGGATGTCACCTCCCCACATCCGCACAGCTCTGGGATGCACGCACCGAGCTGCTCCTGAGCCCTGAAAATAATCAGCTTTTCCACCACCATCAGTTGTTTCCAAGAAACAATTCTGCACCGATCAATTGCTCGGGCACAAATCAGAGCAATATAAGCACCCAAACTCTATCCTAGCTCTGGGATCTGACCTGCCTGTCCCCCCCCTGACCTTCCAACCAGTAATTCTGGGAGCTGTGCACACAGACTTGGCTCAGAACCTCCCTCCACTCCTCCGCACTCCTTAGCCCCACAGTACTGTTGAGCCCATTCCAGCACAGCCCCGTCCAGTCTCAGCCTTGCAACTTGTCTCAGCCTTGCACCTCAGCCAGAAATGCTGAGGTTCTGACAGGCTGACTCCTGTTCTTACCCCTGCCATCAAAATGGTTCCAAAGAATGTTTATCAATCAGGTGATAGGCGCTTTATATGTAAAAATATAAATATAAATATATATATATAAAAAAATCAACCCCCTTCTGCCCCCCACCAACCCACCCTGTGCTTTCCAGCAATGCCACGAACCCTTCGGAGAACTCAAAGCCAACCTTAAACCTTAACTCAACCCTGTAGCTAACCCAAAGCAAAGCAATGCGATGCAGCCAAACCTGAAGCCACAATGCTCACTTTGCACACACCCCAGCTTGCTGCCGTCCCCTCGCTCCCCCATCCTGTCCCACAGGCTGTGGCCATGCTTGGAGCACTTCTAACACCGCTCCTGGTGCCTCCAAGTGTTCCGCCATCCCCCGTCCCCATCCCTCACCTGCTGGCTCAGCCGCTGGCTCTGGGATCTCAGTGCTGCTCGGTGTCGCTCGAGGATGGGAAATGAAGGAGCAGGGGGAGCCTGCAGACATTTGGGCCATCAGCTGACACTGCAACATTTCTGGCAGCACTCCGGTATGTCCAGCTGACAGCTGAGGTTGGGAGGGGGAGAAAACAGCCCCTGGTGTTAAAGGAAAACAAAGCCGTGGGGTGAGGTTGGGGCTGAGGAAGCCACGTGTGGGGCTGTATGAAGCATGGCCACACTCTGCCTCCCTTGTGCAATGGCTCCAGAGGGAAATAACTGCAGCTTTATTCTGGTGCATGCAAAGAAGCGATGGTGGTGTAAGGGAGCAGGCTGGAGCCTGCTGTGCTGCTGGGATGAGGATAGGTGCAAACCAACCCTGCAGCTGCTTGCTGTGGGAAATGGGTTGGGATGATGCAGGGAATGATGGAGCAAAGGGGCTGTGAGTGCAGGGAAGAGGCAGCAGAATGAGCGGGGATGCTGGGGATCAAATGAGTCGATGAGCTAATAGGGCTGAGAATGGAAGAGGTATTTTTGGGAAGGGGTGAACCATGCTGTGTCCAATGCAATGCAGCAGCTGAGAGAATTGGGGCACAGCGCCCGGCCCTGCCAGCAGCCTCATGCAGGAAACCAAGGCCGGGAGCAGAGTGGAAAAGTCCCAGAGCATTTCCTGCCAGCTCTGCGGGGACAGCGTGTGCCCCACGCTGTGCACCTGCCAGGAACCCAAACAGCCCTGTGGGATCCTTGCATGCTGCAGCCAACCTGGCACATCCCCACAAGACCCACTGCTATTTTGGGGTACATGCAGTCTGAGCACCCCATGCTCACCCCCACCCCGTCCCCCATCAGTCCCAGTGATAATTCAAGGGCATCAACAAATCAGTGCCTGCAACAGGGATGGTGCTGGAAAGGGTGGGAAGGAACTCTGCTGCTGAGGAACCAATCAGTGGATGCAGTAATAGCCGCTAATTGGAGGGGAGCAGACAGGACCGAGCCCAACTTCGCCCTGGGAGCCCTGCATGGTGCTGGCACACACACCTCCCCTGTACAGAGCCTGCCCTGCTGGATGCCATATGTATTTTTAATGGTTATATTAATTGCAGTGATCTCATTTTGATGTCAGGAGCACTGCAGTGGCTGCTCCGTTCAAACCAGCACAGCTCGAGGCTGCTGCATCCCAGGAGGTGCCCCCACCAC